AATGGGTCAGAATAACAGTTTGGACGGAGCAAAGCCTGGTAAATCGTTGATGTTCTTCATAAAATTGAAGTGGCGAAAATTGACGCGCACCAAACACAAGTCCAGACCGGTATTGGGTGCTGAGCAACCATAAAAGTCTTAATGATTGCCTATGACACAAGACGTTGCAGAGATTTATTTCATTTGAAGGAAGATTGTATGTATTCTATAATAGCGTAGAGGGAAGCTCGCATGTCATTTCACAATGTCCTTACGAGGTCATCCGGTTTACTTATGTACGTCCCTACTCACCAGGTGGTCGGCTTTTTCTGAGGAAAATCGGCAAATCGTCACCGGAGTTATGGTGTACGGCCGTGACGTTCACAATCGACGGTGGGGACCGACGACGCATCATGCGTAAAGCCTCTTTTGGAACGATCGCAAATTTTTCAAGGTCTTCTTCTCTCTTTGTCGTAAATCTCAAGGGAACTGCTTGCGTTAATCATCATGAAAACCGCTTTCGAATTGTCTAAACGTTTCTTTTCTCTACGAGAATGATAGATGAATAAGAGTGATTTTTATATCCTGATAAACATGTGAGAATAGATAGGTGGGTGCTGATTGGAAAGTCATCAAGAAAGACCTAAATTCGCTTACAGACCTAGCTTTTACGATTCTGTGCCTTTAAACATCTTTACAGAACTGCATTTGCTGCGGCATAAAGTCCGCCAGATATTCCTGGAACATCTATTTCAGAGAAATGTATCATAGAATTCCGAGGTGTACTTGTCTTTAGGATGAGGACACCACACCATTAGCGTGGTCGCAATGGAAGAGGACGGTGTTTGAAATTCAGGTCAGCGCCCGAATGCATGTGTTATTATGCTAATTTCTCATGCTGGTAATGGATCTTAAATTGAATTAACTAACTTGAACATTCAGTACAAGGCCATCGACGCGATTCGAACAGGAACATACACGGAGAACAGATTGGTAGAAACATATCGGAAACGAAAAGCACCTCACATCAGCGAATGCATTCCGCAAAGAATTAAAGTTCTTTTTACAGAACATGTTGCAGTTAAACAGCTCTACTATTCAGTTTCTGCAGAAGTCGTTGGAAAAACGAACTTTAACGATCGATATTTCACCTTATTTTTGTGTTAGTTATCTAAAGATCGGCATTGGAAGTGCAAACATCGACTAAAATAGGTTGTTTTCAGCTGTTTGAAACGTCAGTGACTAGTGATGGTGGACAAGGACGACATTAGAGATAATGCATATTAAGGCCGGCTCTTCATAGCCGGCAGTGACATCGCTCTGTGACATACCACGTAACTCGGAGGAAATCAGAATTCATGCGATAATTGGCCTAAGCAGCGTTGATGAGGGGGCACTCGAGGCACTCACCAACATGTCATTAACCGTGCATATGAAATCAGAATTTGTCCGAAAGATCAGTGGACACCATTTGTCTCAGAATGTCTAAGAATTAGAATGTTATGTGTCGTTTACTTTTACTAGTTAGTACTTTCATTTATAGTAAAGTAAAGCTAAGGAAAGATAAAGCTCTCGGCTCTCATCAATCTCTGCGGGATGTGCTACGCGTTTGACTTCATTAAGCATCCTTGGAAATGAACGAATGCATATTTGGCCTATATAATGTCTTGTCGTGGAGTAGTAGTGCATCAAATCATTGCTGCTATCCTTGCAGACAACTCGTACCAATTTGCTAAGCTCTGAAGGGCTTTGTGAACATGGGATGTGGTGTAGAACCAGCTACCAATTCACTATGTATTGTGAATTCAATCAGTAAAGTCATATTGTTCTTATTTAATAAGTGCTGGGTTAAACTCAGTTGATTTCTAGAGTGATATACGGAAGATTGGATAGGAGCCTCATTGGCTCAGGGGCAGAGCGTCTGTCTAGTAAACAGAAGGTCGCTGGTTCGATTCCAGCATGAGGCAGTGCTTTGCTTTGTTGAAAAGCAACTCTAACAATCGAACTAAAGACGCACCTATAACAGATTACTTTTGAACAAAAGTCTTAGGTTTCAAGTTAAGAAGATTCTATACGCACATTCTGATATTTGGCTCGATGCGCCTTTCATGATTGATAATTCATCATAATAGTGCTATAATTATGAGTACTTTGCTTGCATATAGCGCATCGCAAAAATCTTCGCTAGGGTCATTCTAGATAAAAAGATTTCTATATCAGGTCTATGAAATTGCCGCTGAGTTACTTGGAACCTGAACAAATTTCCATCCAATCAGAGTCTGACGTTCACTTCTTAACGACTTGGTAACGTTTCGGTATAGCTATCTCGAAATAGAAAAACCTGCTCAGTTGGCAAAAAACCGGACACATTACCTTTTCTAGAGCGCTCTCATCTGCAGCTTACGGTCGTGAGACAACCAGTGTGGGTGATTACACGCCGAGGAAAACATGGATCGAAACGAAAGTAAAAACGGTCATGATGAGTTATTTTCCATATCATGGCTCATTTCTGAAAATGTGGATAACCGGAGGAAACGCGGTTTTTCACTGGATATAGAAAGCACCTCATGGCAAAAGATATGAAGACAAAACACATCTTCATGAAAACAGGCGATGCGTACCTCACGCCTACGTACGGCCATCATTCTAATTTATGTCCTCCTCTAGGTTTTTGTAGAGCCATAAGTTAGAGAAAAACTTCTGACACCGCCTAGGAAAGAATCGATACGTGCATTACATGCAAAATGTGGATGAAATTTTCCCCTACGTGACTGGTGTACAGGACATACAATAGATGGCTACTACCTTTTTGTCAAAAAAAAAACTCTAAAGTCGAGGTAAATAATTTTGACTCCAATAATAAAGAAGCCCAGACAACACCTTCAACGTTGGCTAAAAATAGCTTGAATATTAGAAACAATTTAGTGAGGCGCATCTTATAAAGCTGGTAACTAACGTTAGGTGAAGAAACTTCAAGAATGGGTTGTGTTGGTACTAAAAAAGGGTATTGGAGAAAACAAATAAAATAGACCATCTAAAGAATTGTGATCGAGACCTTTACTTCACTGTTACCTTCTGTTATGCACATCATTGAATGAAGACAAGATTTCCACAATATTCCTGAATATTTCGGAGGCGAACTCTCTGCAATTTTACTTCTGTTTCTCAACCTGGTAAGAGTAGCAGACTTTAGCAACACGGCCTGTCTTTGTTGAGCCGAGTGTCACGAAATTCTTATAACCAACAGGAGAATTTGCATTGAAAAGACAAAAAAGACTGACCAATGACGAAACTAAGATATAGCCTACTATCTATCCCAAGAAGTATAACCGAGAGAAGATTATTCTTCCAAATTCTTTAATCATGCATATTGAGCATCATTCATAAGGACTAAATAATAATAATGATTTGGACATGAATTCTGCTGTGATGAATGCGTCTTCTGTTTGGTGGCTGAGCTGGCAGGAGTTCGTCATGATCATCACCTTCTCTTCCTCCTTAATGTGTGTCGTTTATAAAACTAGCTGATGAGGTAAGGATAAATGCTGTTCTATAAAAGTTAGTGGACTAAGTGGTGGATCCGTATGTTGTACGAGAACTCAATGCGACTAGAATCCAGCACTGGAAATGCATCACAACGACGACAGCTTAACCGCAATCGCTTTACGAACTTTACGAATCGCATAAAGGCTTTACGAGTTATATGACAAGGACAGCCAGTGCAGATTGTGGAGAAAGCTTATGTGGTGATTGGGAAAAAATGTTAGCGTTCTTTAAGAGTATAGCTGAAGTGTCGCTGAATTAAAAATAAAGCTTTTCTGGCGACTGGCTACGAATTGTAGCCATCGAATGATGTTCGAAGATGTCGCCATGGACGAAACGGACCACAATCATGGACGATGATCGCAAATGGCACAAAAGCGGTCAGTCTAGTGATTTCCCTAATAAAAAAATTATCATATTTTTATATTCTTTCGTCTGATAAATGTCGTTGAAAAGCACTCGTACTTGGACCATTGGACTATCACCTTCACAAGTCTCTCTGCAAATTTTCTATTCACTTAAGCCGACACCTCTAGCATAGTGGTTAAAGGTGCTCTATCACAGCCAGTTCTATAGTTCTATTCGAGCCAGTTTTCGTTGTAATTTTTAGGACGGACTTCCAATTAAGTAAGTTTTTGCGTTTTTCATGCAATGGTTCGATACCGCTCTCCGCCGATGCTAATTGAACCCTCATCCCTTCGGAAATCACAAATTGCTGGCAACCTGTCTAAGATGCTAAAAGCACCGACGGGTACATCTCGAGGCCTGCCTAAAGTCACGGTGTAGGCCAAATGTGCATCCACGACGCTTAATGGGACGGAATTAATGGCGCAACTGTAAGAGAGAGAGGAGAGAAGGAGAGAGAGAGAGAGATATCACTTAGGGGATATGTTAGGATAGGGGAATAAAAGAATAGAAATGCTTTGAAAACGTTTGTTGCAAAAAAGGATGACGAGTAAGACATGATGAAATAAATTCAAATGAGCAGGATTTGCTAGTAAAATTATGAGAGAAGAAAAATACACCAACAACTTTCCAATTTAACAAATAAAGGGCCACAATCACTCGACAGATTATCATAACACAAGAGTCTACACAAAAAAGAGAAAACGGTTCAATACGGGTAAGAATGGTAGAAGTTCCACCACTTATGAAAACAACTGCATGCAAAGCACTCAACAGAACATGCAATTCTTCAATCCATAAACCTTTCCTGCTGAAATTCCCGATTAATCGATTAATCAATAAATCGATAGGTTAATCAAATGCAAATCAACAACAATGTACATATATATCTTAAGCATACATAGAAATAAGAAAGAATACGGAAAAACAAGTGAAATATCTTACTCAAAGCTCATCGTTTGATATCACAAGCTCCCCAAAAACCGTTTCAAGTAATTAATAGAATAGTAAAAACGACGTTAGGAAATAGGGTAGAAATCTATATAGATATATATTGTAATCATTGTTTCTTTCTAATGAAGACCTACTTGTTTCACTCGTAGAACTCCCACATAGGAATCGCTGGAATCACGATCAGTAGTCATATAGAAGTACTTAGAATCGTCAGCTAACGTGTAGGTGAACAGATTGTCTCTGGAATTTAACAAAATCTAAACAATTCATCTGCAAGGATTTTACCCATAATCCGGAAAATATTCAATTAATTCCAATTTTTTATTTGCTGCCTACTACAATTCTTTCAAGCTGACGGCACTGATCGATAGAAAACTAGCTGAGAGACCCGTACCGAATGACCCGTATGGTGTGGTGGTGAACGCGAAAGCCTCCGGAAAGGTAATAGCGCGTTCGTTCTTCACCGCTTGCACTCGCGCTCCAGAGCTTTCCAAATATCTCAGCATCATTGTGGATGTATGCTGCTAATAATTTTAACCTTATTTTTCTTAATACCAAAGGTGCGAAGTGTCATTAGTGGTATCGCTAGGACACGCATAAAAACTGGTTTCGCCTCACATTTCTGCACTGATCTACCAAGGGAAATTGACCCAAGCGCTTTATATTTCTATAAAGTTTGGACTTTCTTATTGTTTTCATAATAAAGAGAAGGTATGACGCATTTGGTCTCAATCGATCCTTCAGAGAATCGCCGTGCATTCGAATTTGTTCATGGCACCGTAGAGGCGATGAAATGTATATTTGGTCTAAGTAATGACATATGTTATATGACATATACATACACACATGCCTATCGATCTTTGAATCAGTGTTTTTCAATATTCCCACCCAAGTCTGGCACTAGTTCTCCGAACAGGAGGGACTAAGAGCTTGGTTTCCCTGGGCACGAGATCAATTCAATGACCACGTGTGTATTGTGAGACATCTCTAACAGTTGTGATACACGAGTTTCTCCACTTGTTATATCAATTACTAATATTCTCAGTCAATGCTACCACTGAGGCGGACGTACATGGCTTCATCGTCAGGATCGGTGGCCGAGACACTAATCACAGCCGATCCGACAGCGATCGTCTCATCGACTATCGCGTGATAGTGAGAACGCTCAAACGACGGCGCGTTGTCGTTCTTGTCCAGAACCTTCACGGTAACATTTGTGGCACCTAAAACATCGAGGTAACCCGTAGCAATGAGAAAACGATTAGAAAAAAACCTTTAAGTTTTCAAAAAATGTAAAAACCATTTCGTGAAAGAGCTTTGTTATTTTTGTGATATTTTAGAAAAGAGCAATCATGGAAAGCTTTGAAAATATTAGCAAACTGATCTAATAAAGATCAATATAAGTGTAAAGAAAGAACAAAAATGTGAGAACGATAATGCTGCGCCAGAAAAGTCAAGGATTACTGTGTTAGGGGGCAGGACCCTCTCTGACGGCACGCTTCCGCTATTAAAATTGGGCTGAAGTTTCTCAACAGTTGAACCTATTTCTAAGGCATCCTTGCTTAGAGTCGCATATAGTTTACATGAACTTCGATATAGACTTTACAACAAGGCTAGACATGAAGGTCTAGATAGGGAGGAACAACAGTGAGTAGGGGCATTACCAGTACAGCGGTTTCCTCGAGCGTTCTTCAGGCAACAGGATTTCATCTGTGAAGTTGATAGCAAATTTCGACTATTTGGGAATGAGGCTTTCAAAATTCTTAATGATTTCCGCGCAAAAACCTTTTGCTCATACCTTACAGAAACACAAGACTGTGGCACGCGAGAGATTCGAGAGCTGATAAGGTTAAAGAGAATTAGACTAACAGTTAGTGATAAGGGTGAAGAGTTTGTAGTAATTCCTCATCGGTTAGATGTTGACGTAATGAAAAAGCATATTGAAGATACTTTCCTTAATCGCCATCACATGAAGAGAAATTCAAAATTCAACACCAGAATTTGAAAAATGAATGGAACAAAGCGGCAAAAGCGACGTTTGAATTACTACCATGTCTCGTCTTATATTTACGAAAACTCATAAGTTAGTATCCAGTGATTATCTAGTGTTCACTGATCCATCATTATTCAGGTCTAGACCTAACATTAGCAGTGTAGAAGGATTAACGGATGGAATAACATGGTCTTTAACCCTAACACTTATCCAGATGTTTAAACAGATTCAAGATCATTTTAGAACCATCTAAACTCTCCTGGATCGAGGACAAATGGAAGGACTGGCAATGGGGCAGAGACTGGCATCAAAAGTTGCCACTGCATTTATGTCTAAGGTGGATGCATAAGTAATCAACGTCCGGCCACTACTCTACTATAGATATACAGATGATTGCCTTGTCATTTGCTTCACGCAACAGGAGATGGAAAAACGTTTTGAGTTACCGAATGAGCAGTCAGAGTGCATTAAGTTTACTCGAAAGAAACCGATAGAAACTTGCTTCCATTTCCGCACATTAACCGAAAGCGACTTCATCATGAAATGCTATCGAAACAAACGTAGCAAAAACATACTGGTTCATGACCTCCCGTCTCATCACTCAAACACAAAAATGGCGCTTATAAGAAACATGTTTTGAGCAGCCACTAGTGTGTGCACAGTAGGGGAGCAGAAGGAAGAGTTTCTCAAAATGGCGCGGCAAATAGCCATTTCGAATTGCTACGAAGTGGTAGATGCTTGGATATTTTGAAAGGAAAACAAAGCCTCCAAACGACAAGTCTTGCGAAAACAAGATCTCGTTCAACATTCCGTCCATCTCCAGCGAATTAAGCACTGCTATAAAACGCTGCGTAAGTATGGCAGGTTTAGAGAAATTGGTAATAGTGACTGAAATACTACCGAACACTCCTAGACGGCTAGTTTTGCACAATTTGCTCCTACGGCAGAGATGGTGATTACATAAATACGGGTACAGTTTATTTGATCTCTTGTAAAGCACATTAAGGAATATCTAGTTCGTAGACAAAATGTGAAACCCGATACTCCATTAGGTACATATAGGATGCGAAGATGCAACGGACAAGATATTGAAGTAGAAGTCAGAATCCTCACATGAAGCGTTTAGGAAAACGCTCTCAACGTTGATCTATCCCTGAGGAATCCGCCATGCATTCTACTTCATTAACCATTGTTGGAGGTGAGCGAATGCATATTGGCCTTACAATGGTGGCCTACCGATGTATCAAGTCAGTCCTGTTATCCTCCCAGATAAGCCTGGCTCCAGTTTGCCGGCCCCGGAAGGATTTCGAGTGTCGAAGTGGAAATCCTCGTATGAGGGCCTAAAACTTCAGCGCGTAGAACACTCGAAGCGTTCTGGATAAATTCAAAGAGTCTACAGATAAACAGCAGCAAGGAATATATGTTTATCATAAATGATCTCATAAAATATCTCAGACTGGTATTTTAATGTGAGAGAAGCGCATTACCCATCCATTGTTCACTCTATGCGGTTGGTCTCCATGTGGAATACTCGATGGAGAAGAATCAAAGAAGAAGAACAATTGTATGAAGGAGCTGTTTTTTCCAATCCGATAAAACCCAAGCGCTCGTGGTTTCTCTACTGAGCTAATGAAAGTATTTGGTTTCCTAGATCGCAGTTAGCTGATCTTCCCAGGCTCCGATGAAGACGAAATCCACCGCAACGTCATCTAATAGTAGTTAAATAAGAAGGTCATATATGCTTGTCAAGAAAGTAGCAAGTCAAATGTCATGTGTTTAGCGCAATGTAGAGGGTAATTTCCTTCAAAGTCACTCTTTTTTTCGAAAAGGAAGAGGAAGACGAAGACGTCGAAACGTTAGCCGAAAATAAACATCATTATCAACCTCGTGTAAGCTCATCAAAGAAAGAATACATATTGATTAGTGATACCGAGGTTCAAGGAAAGTCGGTTTCGAAATATTACTACGCTTTGTGCTAGCTGATAATAACACCGACTTCTGCACGATGTACGCGATGATTATGTCCGGTAGAAAAACAAGTTGTTATCACCGGACATTATCATTATATCCAACATCAGCATCGTGTATAAAAGGGCATCACTGAGTAAGGATGCCTCGTTCGAGGAGGTGGCTCACTGAAGAAGACCTGACTCGAGACGAAGGCGAAGCTGCCACGTCGAGACGAATAACAAGCGAGGACCATCGACTCGGATCATCGGCTCTGAGGAAGACGAAGACGTCGAAACGTTAGCCGAAAATAAACATCATCATCAACTTCGTGCAAGCTCATCAAAGAAAGAATACATAACACTCTTTTTTGTTCGTTATACAGCAATGTCAAAATATATTTGCTAAAAAATCATGAAAAGGCTAAGGAGATTTCAAAGAAGTTCACAAATCGACGAATGCCAAACCTTCTCTTGGAGGCGTTCCATGGTCGGTTGCACGGACTTCAATAACGAATTCCCGTTCCGATGGAAGCTCACGATCGAGAGCTCTCTAAATTACGAGAAACAGCATTTTAGTAGTAGACTTTGATGCTTCTTTAAAAACAATGTTGTTGTTTAAATGAATAAAAATGTGACGCATATTGATGTTGGAATCTTAAAAGGGACACTTACATCTGTGTGGCAGTTCTACGCTCTTACATCTTTCACGATATTTTCGCTCTCTTATCCTCCCACTCCAGTCTATCTTATGATTTAATTCATTGCAAGGATATGTTTTTTAATAAGTAGTTCTTCAACTTCAACTTCGCTTTTTATGAAGTCAATTCATAAGGCACAGTGGTTAGAGGTGCCCTGTTATACACAATGGAGCGATCGCTGGCTCCATCCCGCTACCTGAGCTCACTAAATCTTCCATCCTACTGGAAGAGGCAAAATGACACCAGACATGTCAGCGAGGACAAAGACATTGACAAAACATACTGTTAAGCCTTCGGAAGTTATTGTATGGATCGGGAACGGATACAATCGCTCTGCGATTCCTAAATGGAATCGAATGCACAGCGCATCCTTCAGGGATTGACGAACGCCGAATGCTTTTCATTTTTTCCAAGGAGTCAATTCAACTCTAATTGTTCATTCCCATTAGGACAGCTATGGACGCCTCTGGCGGACTCATTATAGGATTAGTGCAAGACGTCTTTCGATTTTTGTGAATGATTTACACTCGTTGCTCACAACTTCATAGAAAATAGCGCTTTTTTGTAAAACCCTACAAAAACATCAAAATAATGTGGTCTATCGATTTCGGTTTATTTCGGTTTATAGTACTTATTTATTCACGCACTACTTCTAAATAAGCTAATGGTCTACACATAATTGTACTTGTAACCTTAGGAAATATCCGAGGCGGGAAAATATTTTTTAAAAAGTTTGTAAAAGTAGTACACCTTCACAGAAAACATCACGTAACCACGGAAGAGTCGTGAAAAAAATACTAAATCTGAGGGAGTTCAGACACAGCATACCTTAAGGGGAAGTTTAGCCAGCAACGTCAACTTTTTTGTTTTGTTCTATGCAAAACCTTATAACTCCTCTGATTAACCTTTATTTCCCAAGCCTTTCTAAAAAAATGTTTCTTCCGACAAAATTTCAAATGGCAACGATTGTTGGGTGTGTCTTTAAATAACGTAGAACATGATACTTGGCTATGAATTAAAATGTTAAAAAATGCGTTACACTACACTAAAATAAATACGACGCTTAGTTATAGTTTTTCTAATTTCTTTATACCCTCTTTATCTTTTCTTAGGGTGAATCACTTGTCTAAGTTGAGAAAACAACTAGCAGTTTTCCATAGGATTTCGTGCATTAGTTCCTCCTTATTTTTTCCTTATTTCCCGCCTATCGGTCTCCCAACAGTTTGCGGCTTCATCGTGGCTGGGATGTGTTCCTGGGTGTTGGGCTGTGATGTGCGGCGGGAGATTAATCCGCCAGATAGAGTCTCCCATTCTGAGAAGGAGATCAGAGTTTTCCTGAGGAAGCCCAGCTAAGAGTAAACCAATACCAAAAGCCACCACCGATCTGCTGTCAAAGTCGCATGGTGGCAAATCTCCCCCTGATCGACAAGGGCAGCGACTGCCTGTAGTAGTAAACCTGAAGCAGACTTTGGGCAAGCTGACCTCGGAACTCCAGAGAGACACAGTGGCTAAACCAGCACAACTCCAAAAAATGGATAGTATGCTGGGGGCTGTGCAACTAGTGAAGACGTGTCGTCCAAGTTTCTACGTTCCCCTTTACCTAAGTCAATATTTAAGATCTCAAGGAATATTTGCAAACTACTCGATCAAATCACCATTGCAAAAATTTTCCCCGAGCTCGGATCGATCCGGAACACTGGCACTCCATCGATTTCCTTATTCAGAATGATGCTGTAGTCAAGACGAGCGTTATCAGTGATTGGGTCATCATAGTCAGTGGCTCGAACATCCATAAAGTAGATACCATCTCGAGCTAGAAAAATCCGAATACAATTAGGGATTTCAGCGCCATGAAGAAGAAGAAATAAAACTATATATCGTAAAACTCGGATAACTTGGTCCAAATACTTACAAGTTCTTTTTCTTTTTTTTTACATTCCTTTTCAACATCGAAATAACGCAATTGGAATTGGTCTGAATGCATAGATTTCTTAGATGTTTGAATTTGACTTCTTCTAACATTTGGAGATTCAAATAGTTCAGTTCACTTTAAAGTAGAACAATTTTGCATATCAAAGAAGAAAAATGTTTTCGAAATATTAAAGGGCAAACTGATCTTTTTCCATTAAGAGAACAAAAATTAAACACACTTTTAAGCGAAAATCCTACAAAAGACAAGGATAGCCGGAATAAATTCTTTAGTTCATCTTTTTCTTCATCTTTTAACTAAGACTTTTCCGGCTCGCTTCAGCCTTTTTTGACATTCAACGAAGAAGGAAAAAAATCTCACATTGTGGTTCGCGGTTTTCCTCAATGTATCCGTAGAGGTCGTCGGCAAAAATAGGTGCATTATCGTTAATGTCCTTTAGATTCACCTATAAGCATACATACACAATGATGCTGAGATATTTGCAGAACTCTGAAACTCAGGTGTCCGCGGTGCGGAACGAACGCGCCATTACCCTTTTGGAGATTTAACGCGTTCACCACCATACCATGTGGGTCCTTCGTTGCGCCTGCCCCCCTGATCTGGGGAGCCCAAAGTCGGGAACGAACCCAGTTAACCTAAGGCTGTAGTTGAAACTATTATGTATAAATTAAAGTGAGCAGGAAACAAAAAGTTAGCATTGTGATACCGCATACATTGTTCTTCTTCAGTTACCGCAAAAAGAACTAGAAGTGAAAACGAATGATGGCACCTTATTAAGGGAAAACTCTTTATAAGAAGAAAGACGTCACTATAGTTCGGAATTCCAAGCAGTAGAGCTATTCATTTGCAATAAAAATGAGGTCTTCCATTTTCATTTTAAAGCATTTTTCCATTAGAAATCCCTCTTCACCTTATCCGACTGCTAACTGTTTTATCATGGCTGGTGATGTCACTGTAGTTCGTCATAACTACGATAACCGTGGACCCGGTGAGTTTCTCGGTGCACTGCGGAGCAAATGTCGCGTAACTAGCAACATACAGTCGGATGGAAAATGTTTTCAGGCACCCAGCACCATTATTAGTGAAAATATTTATTCAGTTGTCAACCATGAAGTAGTATTGAAATCACTGCAGATATCTTCTTGGTAATTTATTAGAATTTGCAGGAGTTTTTTAAACTGGTAGCAGGAAAACGAAAAATCCTTAGCCGAAGCAGCCGAACCCCTATCAATATCCGAAGAATTCCGCGAGCATTGGAAGTGAGGAATCGGATCGAATGAAGGAAAGGCGGGGATCCGTCTAATGTGTGATGTCAAGGAATATAAATGAAACAGAATGAAATATAAAAGTTTTGGCAAAGGTTCTCCCTACCTGCACATCAGCATAACCAATCAGCCCTCTACCGTTGTCATCAATTGCTTGTGCAATAAAATTCCATGTAGGAACACCGTTTGGTGGGTCACGATCCAGCGCCTTAAAAGGTACTTTTTAATACATGTTACAGAGACGTCTAAACATATTTAAAAGATAAAGAGAAAAAACTTCTCTTTGCAGACACCACTACTCCACCACAGCACTTTTCAGAAAAGCTAGTGCCTTTATACAAAAAACTTAGGTTTAATTTGTGTGTGGATTTAGACATTGAAAAATTCTCCATAAAAGCTAAGCATGTTAAACTACATCGGGAAAATGTTAGAACAAATGGCTTTAGTTTAATATTCTGAAAGCTTTCAGTTTTGTATGATTTAATGTACTTATTTCAGAAAACAACGGATCTCCCTCATAGAGTGATCTCATACCGGCTAGTCGCGAGCGACGTAGCTTCCCATGTAACGGATATGGTGTTAATAGCCGATCAAAGATGAAATTTGCTTCCTTAAGATGCAGCTAGATCCAGGGATCCAGGGAATGGACTCTCTGTTTCTGCTTCGTTGATTTGGTAGATACCTTCCCTGTTTACGAGGACGTATTTATGGGTGCGTGCGTGGGAATATTCTTGTTTATGCGGTTTGTATTAAGCCAATTCGACCAAAAACCTGCAATCAAGTGACAGGGAAGCACATAGGAAGCAATCAGGACACATAGGAGGCGCCTCCAACGAATAAGTTCCTCGTCTAGTCTCGGACAGACAGACCCTTGGTCATATCCTGTCACCACGTTCAGAGTTCAAAAAGCTATATGTGGGTATTAAACGTAAACGAAGTAAAATAAGTGCGTCTACTATCCTTGACTCCGAAATAGCCCACGATAAAGTAGCGTTGGCTAGGAGGAGCACGACAAGGCTGCTAAAATCTCGTGGTCCTTCTTGGCTGTCTAAGTCGCAAAAAGTAAGTTGACTACCTGTACTTACAATGCACGCTCACTTGCATCCTCGATAGAAGACTTTGATCGTGCAGGCTAGAAGAATATGGTGCGAGGTCATCAGAATGACCGAGACAGGAAGATGTTACCCATTCAACGCCGTTTGTGACGACGGAAAAAAACAACCTCGGAACATGAGACAGTAGAGCAGCCGGCGGCGTCGACGCTCCCGTCAACACGAGTTTGCTCATAAACATCGATATATTCGAACAACTAACAACCTGAATCGGACGACTGCGATTGAAGAGATATGGATCAGTTTCGGCTTTGACAATCAACATCGTCTAGAAGCTGACACCAAGCTATGATGAAGACAAGGTTGTAGCGTAATCTGTAGGCGTAAGTTCTACAGAGAAGACCATACCTTATTTAAGGTCATCATTGGAGATTTCAAAGCTAAGACTGGACCGAGAAAAACGTCTGAAGAGCGCTACATTGAGACCCACGGATTAGAAAGGAACAAGCAGAGCGAGCAGGTGTTTGACATTCATGACGATCAAGAACATTCATAGTAACTTGCAATTCCAGAAGCTCCAATCTCAGCGCTGGTTGTGGGAGTCGTGGAAAAGGTGGTGGAGAAAACGTCATGGTAAGTCAAAGGTTTTGCCTGACCGATGTGGCTGTTGTCCCAAAGTTCAGCATGGGATCAGACCATCGCCTTATTTGTGCAAGAGTTGAACCCTCGCCGGAAGGAGAAATACCTACTAAATTCAAAAAACGAAGTCGTAAAATCATCACAAGCTGCCATTTTCTCAGTTCGTTAGTCGGCGGAAGGAAAGATGTGGTTTCAGATGATATAGGCCCAGAGTACAGTCGGCTAGTTTAACATCTTTACGTTAGCGCTATGGAAGCTGAGAGTTCGAAAGTCACCGAGAGACTCTCCAGAAACACTCGATCCGATACGCCAACGTAGAATCGCACGAACTACAGGTAACCGCCAACTCAAGTCCGAACTTGCAAAGCAATGGAGACAGGCGATAAAAGAAGATCTTAAAGAGAGAAGAGCAGCAGTTATTGTCGAAGCTGCGAAGACTGGAAAACGCATTCGCAAAGCCCACCGAAACTTGGCCAATTACAAAGCCAAAATGATTGCACTGCGATAACAACCAGACAGAACAGTTACAGCTTCTAGAAAGGCAATGGAGAAAATCATTCACGACTACTACTTGAATTCCTTCAATAGCCACATCTTCCTACCTTCATATGGAATAATGGAAAATGGATGTCGCACCACCGCTTCTCCCTTCCTAATTCCGACATTCTATTTTGTCGGTGAAGAGGCGAACAACAACAGGTCCGCACAGGATAAGATCTGAACGCCTGAAGGACCTTCTGTCAGTTCTCATTAACACACTGGTTTGGCTCTTCACATATTTCCTACCAAAACGCAACGTTCGTGGAAGACCTGTAAGAACGTCATGTTGTTTAAGAACGGTGACTTCCACGATATCAGCAACCATTGCCGAATCTGCTTGCTGTCTGCCGTTTGCAAACTCTTTACTGGGAGCATCGTATGCAGGATTGACAGGCCGCTGAACGAAGGACAGCTATGTGAGCAACCACGCTTTTAAAAAGGATTCAGTACGATGGAACACATCCACACGAAAACAAGACTCATTGAAGCATGACGATAATGCAGGAGACCAGTCTGTTTCCCTTTCAACGATTTAAGAAAAGTTTTCAACTCAAATGGTATAGAAGCAGTCATGGAAGCCCTGGACAATAAGGAACAAAGTCAAAAGAGGGGCTACGCCAGGCATTCATCTCGCCAAAACTATTTATCGCCACTCTCGAGAATATCATGCGAACATTGGAATGGGATAATATGGGAGTGAAAATCGATGTTAAGCACTTTGCACTTTACTGTTGACATTTTTCTTAGAACACTAAGCATTGCCTAGGCGGAGCGAATGATTGCCTACTTTGACTACGCCTTTGGAAAGATTGGTTTTCAACTAAGTCTCACAAAAACGATGAGGAATGGATTGGTTATGGTATGCCCCATTCACACTCAACGAAATGAATATCTCCGAATGCTCCAGTTATGTCCATCTATAGCAGGAAACCAACATGATGAACTACTTAGCTCCAGAGTTCTGCAAAAGGAAACGAGCGGCTTGAGGAGCTTTCAAGAGCATTGAAGATGTAGTGAAGAGGACAAAGAACACTCTACTCCGTGCCCACGTTTTCGACTCAAGTGTACTTCCTGCCTTAACGTATGCACCAGAAACCTGGTTGCTCCGTAAGCAGGATAAAAGATTACTCAGCGTTATTGAACGCGCTTCCGAAATGATGATGCTAAGAGTATCGCTTATCGCACAGGTAAGCAAAAGAATCCGAAGCTTCGATCTACGTAGCTGATAAGTATCGAAAATAAGATGGGCCGAATAGATAATACTCTTGAGTGTTAACCGAAGGACAGAAGCCCTTAGCAATTGAATTCTGCGGGATGTCTCAAACTTACAGCAGGAAGACCACCAACCTGATGGTTAGAGTTTTTTACGAAAATCCTAGAAGAAGATATGACGCTCAACGAGGTCCCTATAGAGAGCAGAACCTATGTGGACTTCTCTTACAGGCAACAGGGAAAAGTAGAAGATTTAATGGAGCCCGCTCGAGTCATTCGACGATCAAGTGGGCAACAAGTGATACGGGTGATATGAGAAAAAATAACTCTAGCCTAATATTCCGAGCGTTTTCAGTTTCTTACTCGATTTAATAGTTTCTTTTTTATTTTTAGCTAATAAACTCATAGTGAATTCAAATATTTGCTTCTAAAGTCACCCGGTACACGCTGAGGCAGAAAGTCAGTAAAGTACAAAAAGAAAATAATGAAAAAAAGCTGAGACAGTAAGACATACTTAAGGCTTTTCCAGAAAAGTTTTCGTATAACGTGATATATTGGGAATTTTAAAAAATTAGGCGGAAATTCCTCAGAAAACCTTGATTAGTTCAATTTCGCCGGATTCACGTCCAATGCGAAAGAATTCACCAGTACCTTGGCCTTCTAATAAGTAGATGATACGTCGGCTCTTCTCATCCTGTAATACTCCAACTTTATAAATGTTAATAAAATTCAACGAATTCCAGCAAAAGTCCAATTCTGTGTTCATTAGTTTCGCCCTAATAAAACCTTGTTAAAATGATTTTCTTCGAATTATCAATATTAATCGGTAGAACTTTGCTTCTCGTTGGGACCATAGCTTTCATTCCAACGGTTTACTCCAGCTAAGTGTAAACCAATACCAGGATCCACCACCGTCCTGGTATTAAAGTCGCATGGTGGCAAATTTCCCTCTGATCCACAAGGGCTGCGACTGTCCGTCGTGGTGACGACCTGGGCCAGACGTAGGCTAGGGTGACCTCGGAACTTTAGAGAAGCTCAATGGCTAAACCATCGAAACTTCGAAAAGTGGAGATTATGGTGCGTTCGGTGAAATCAGTGAGGACGGGCTGTGAATAGAACAATATGAATAACGAAAAATATTTTACTTGTTTGTTTAAAACGATGAAAAATGCCTCTATGTGATTACGGTAAAGAGCTTACTTTATCAGCATCGGTTGCGTGTAACTGGAATAAAATCTTCGGAATATCGGGATCTTCCTCGAGAATGGTAGTGGTGTAGCTCGGCTGAAAACGACAGAATTTGAATAATATTAAAAAATTGGATCGCTTTAGGATGTCTTAGCAGATCGCCATTGAGTTCAATTAACTGAATTACTAGTTTAGTATAATCTTTCACAGGAAACTCTCGCCTAATTAAACAAGTGTACCATCCGGTATTCGATAATTATAAAGTGTATATTCACTATATTCTCTTACATATACAATTTTTTCCTAAATTGATGTCTTTTCATTTTGGCAATTAAATTCGAAATAATTAGAAAAGCAGGTCGTTTCATTGTTGCCACTTTTGGCCATAAAAGTGGAGGTATTACGAAACGGAGGTCAGCAATAAATTCTTGCCGTTTCAAATCCTATTAGATATGTGTGATTCACAGAAGGACGTCGTTGAAACATGGGATGTTTGGTCTAGTAAATTTTTAAGAATTGATATGGTAACTATTTCCCAAACACTTCCTATTCTCTATAACCTCACATGTTTCCTATACTAACCATTTACGTGTAATTATCTTAAGCCTACCCGTTCATGCTGCATAAATCTTTGTACCGTTTGTTAAAGGCTTCGTACAAGCTACTCCATCTCTTTCACATGAACTTTTTGCATAAGCCTTTTTGTAACTTTTAAGATAAACTCTCCGCACGAGCAGTTGCTTGCTTTCATTACGTACTTTCTTTACAAGTTTGCATAGTGTCTGGGTGCGTGCGTGCGTGTGTGTGTGTGTGTGTGTGTGCGAGTTCCTGTGTTTCCAGTGCCTCTGCATCCTGTATCCCAGTGCTTTCCCTCAAGTGCTTCGCTCGTATCTGTTTACCTAACTGGATATCATCACAATATTATTATTGTGTTGTTATTACTGCTATAAACTGTTATAACACAAACTCGAGGTCGTTCACGGCAGTTACGGAAAAAGACCTGCGTGGCAGACCCATACAAAGTCGAGCATTCAACCTACAGTTGGAGGATAGGGGACAAATCCGACCAGCTACACCTCCATATTCCACTGGCCAACTAGCAGAATTGACATTTTAGGACTTCAAATGACTGACTTAAAAGCGCATATAGAGCAATGGTTAAAGCTGCGCTGCAACACATACTGGACCGGTCGCAGGTACGACCACATGTCGATTTGATGCATCGATAGAGCAACGAAAGTCATTGTATAGGCTTGACAAATCACCTTTCTTATTCTAAAAATGGAGTCGATTGTATGGTGCATCTATGCGGGACTTATCAACACCCAAAGCTTTATCCGTTATACTTCTTAAATAATTAACATCTCCTTAAAGTGTAGGCTATAAGCTCAAGGTAGTTGTTATGTTGGTTGGTATCAGCTTACAAAAACACAAGAAGTTATTCATTTCTTTGTCTCAGCTTAAAAAGTGTCGGTAAGAGGTCGATAGCGGAGAACTACTGAGACATTTCTGATAGACTGAGACTTAAATTCATTTAGAGCTTTCTTCTAAACTCCATACGAAATAACACACGAATACCTACGAGAATTTTCGAATATCTTTCGGACAATCGATATTCTGAAAGAAAAAATTGAACAATCCTACTGAAAATTGGCTTAAAAAGACACTAAAATACAGCGTTCTTTCTGTTTTTCTAAGCTTTTCTACTATTTTAATCAAATACCGACCTTCCCAAAAAAAATTTATGTCTCTGAACAGTGTGTACTTGTATGTATTTATTAATACTAATATCTTTTTTTCCAAGGAGCGCATGTAGTGCAGTGGTTAGAGACGCCTTGCTATACACACGGGGTTGATCCTGCGCCCTAGCCACGTCTGGCCTTCCATCCCTCCGGAGTTAGCAAATTGGTAACAGACTTGCCTGGAAGAATAGTTGCACTAACTAGATTCATCGGTATGCCACCACAAGTCATTGTATAGGCCAGATATGCATTCGGTCAACTCTAATGATACTTGATGAAATCAAATGCATGGGGCATCCCTCAGGGATTGATACGCCGAGAGTTTTATCTTTATCCTTTTATTCTTTTTTCAGATATTCACGCCATTAACAATGATCGTCAAGAAAGAAATTGGAATTCTTTTTACTAGGCTTTCTTCCTAATAATCGTTGCCGCTTTAGTAAAATCTATTATTGCAAACGGAAAAACATTTGTAAAACGTCGAAGATCATTCGCACTGTGGGAAGTGCCCACCTGATCAAATACTGGAGCATTATCATTAACGTCTTCGACGTAGATGAAAACGTCTGTGGAGGCATTGTGACGTCCATCAGATACCAGAAGCCGTAGATGATAGACGGATTCCTGTTCATAATCGAGTGGTTCCTAAATGAGAAACATTGAATACGGTAGGTCCAATTTAAAACCAGGTGAAATGAAGTATCAGGACATTAAGGTCACCACTAAATTTTAACAAAAGTGGACGATATTGTAATTTAGTAAGAAAATCAATATAAAGAGAAAAAATTAGGTAACAGATCGAAATTAGATCGCTTAAGAAATCAAGATTCTCTCCTAGTGCAACAAAATCCCAAATAAAGTAATAACCTCATCCAAGGATCCGAGAGTTTTGCATTCAAATAAACCTAATAAACCAACACCTTCATTTTTTAAAAAGTCTGGCTCTGGCTGCCATTAAAGGTTTAAAGATAATACACTAAACAGCATATGTAGATCAAACGTTCGACGTGCCCTGTAATGCAGGCTGAGTCGTTGGTTCGCTCCCTTGCCTAAGACAAACCAACCCTTTCATATTACGGAAATGCTCACGTTGCCAGTAGACCTATGCGAAAGGATAAAAGCAGACATCTATAGGGGCCACGGACGCCGTTCTATAGGCTAAAAATTCAACAAATCGTCTCCTAGATACTACGAATCCAGCATAATCCACAGGAAATCCCTGAAGGATTGATCGACGCCACACGTGAAGTTATTGTTGTATACATTGAAGTTACTGTTAAGAATACAACAAGTTTCATTAAATGGAGAATCAAGTATGTTTGCAGTAAAAACATTAAAATAAGTGCCTTTCTCTCAGTATAGAAATCCCACCTTGACGAAGATCGCTCCACTATCTGTTCGAGCGCCGAATGGAATTCGACCGCCCTGAGCGGCAACCACATCGTAGCGCAATGTGGAGTCTGCAAAAAACCGTTCTTGGAAATATTTCATGACTGGTTCTATAAGCTCTCTACGCCTATATTTTGCTGTCTCACAAAAAAGGTTTATTCAATTTGTTATCAAAATGTTTTAGCTTCCCTTTACTACCTATTCTTAGTATATATTATGCCAAGGCAAAGCAAAGGCTTTGGTGGGTACGTGAGCCCCGAAGAGACAATCAAGTCATCGAAGCGCACCTGAGGTTCGAAGTTTTGCTCGTATCTTAGCATTATTATGTTATTTTCATTGCTTTCGTCGTCATAGAAATTACTAGGCTTTTATATTCAAGAGCTTTGTATTCGCTGGATCTTTTACAGAATTTGCTTACAGACTCAGTAATGACGACTATTTCAGTATAGAACCCGAAGTAATCCAATAATACCGATTTCATTGATCAAATATCGATTTTATTGATCAAATCATATTAGATTTTGCATACGTATGCTAAATATTGTTTCCTGCCCACTGTTTTATAAGACTAGATAAAATACGTATTAATTGAGTTACCATTAATGCTTTCTCTTACTTATCGATTTCGATCTGAATTTCTATCAATTCCATCGATTACTATCTTAATCGAGTTCACTCACTATTCTCCACTATTATTATAACGTTAATATAACGTTAACACATTAGGATGCTATAATTCATTTGTTCACTCAAAGAAATTAATTCATTTTTGAGGCATTTCTACTTAAACTTGTCTACTCGTCCTGTTTTCATCCGCACCTAAACTATCGCATGTAGCGCAGTGGTAGGAGACGCCTTGCAACACACATGTGGGTTCGATCGCCACGCCCATTGCCCACCAAGCCTTCCATTCCTCCGGGATCGGCAAATTGGTACCAGACTTGTCTGGGAGGATAGCAGCACTAGCTCGATACATCGGTAGACCATCGCGAGACATTGAAAAGGCCAGATATGCATTCAGCTACCTCTAACGATACTTAATGAAGTCGAATGCATGGCGCATCCCTCAGGGACTGATCAACGCCGAGAGTTTCATTCCTTATCCTTTATCTAAACTATCGTTCTAATTAAAATGATGTTGAGATATTTGGAAAACTTGGACTCCAGGCCACGTCGAACCATAATGACCCTTGCCAGGGACTCGCGTGATGCAACCTGGGGTCGAAGTTTTGCGAATATCTCAGCACCGTTGTAGTTGCATTTCACATAATACCCTGCCCTGAAAAATTACGTTAGGCTGTAAATAAAAAGTCAACATTATCTTTGTAATTTCTGCACTTTGTCTAAACAAAAGAGGGGAAGACGAACGTTTGTCCATATCGTGGGCCTTAATGGTGATGATATCGTGACCGGCATCGGCATTCTCCAGGACTTTTCCAATAAACTTCGCTTCATCAAACGATGGTGCATTGTCGTTCACATCGCCAATCACAATCTGCACCTTCACATTATCTAAAACTGATAAGTAAGAAAGTAAGGACGTAATACTATGCATACTTAACCATTTCGCATTTAGAGGTACATTTTTACGAATAATCTCTTGGAAAAGGATGATTACAAACTTAGAAGCCTTCCCTCACAAAATTCTCCTTTCATCCCTACCTTAACCGACCAATAACAGTTATGAAGCTTACATGATAGCATTAAAATAGGGATAAATCTAAACTAATAGATTAGCTTCTACTGCTGTATCATTTCCAACGAAAGCTATAGTGCGCGATTGGTTTTCAAATGTTTTTCTTCTTAGTAAGAAGGCTAAAAAAGCTTAAGATCTTCACTTGTATTCGCGAATTCTTATTGTACGAGTAAGGAAAAATGTAAAAGTATTTTAGGAAACTGTTTAACACACCACGCTCGAAATGCATTGATACTAATGCATATACTATTAGTTGACATAAAATCCATAAGGATACGCATATCTTTGTATAGAAGATCTAACTTCTCTTATTTCACCGAGATAGAACCTTTAATTTTTGGAGTTCATGAAAAGTTTTTTTCTACATTTTTTTCGTGTCCAAGTTCTTAAGAACGGCTTCATCAGAAATTATACTATTAACGCCACAGGGCTAAGTCTCTTCCACTATAAGACTGCGGATTCCTCATTTTCTCAACACTCTAGTAATCCAGAACTTATTGTCGACTGTCGAAGAACCAACATTGGTCATTGGTGAGTGTTAAAGAAGCCACTAAAAAATCACAAAACGTTAAGTAATCTCTTAGCTCACCTTTATTCGGTCCACTAGCACCAGGTAGTGCTGATGGTGAATTATCTCTGGCCTCAACCGTTAGAATGTACATATCCTTTTCTTCTCGGTCAAATTTCGCATTCGGCCAAATCTCACCGGTCAGCTCATCAATGCGAAACAGACGAGCCGCCCGCGAATCCGGAACGTCAAGGATACGATAGTGTACCTGTAAAGAAGAAAAAACAAGGTGAGCTAGTAGGATCGAGAAAAAAGGAAATCCGAAAGGAATGAAAATGTTATACAGGTAGCACATGCGAAAATGTTAACACTAGTGCATTTGTATGAAATGCTGAGGTATTTGCAAAACTCCGGACCACAGGTGTATGCAGTGGGGAACGAACACGCGCTGTTGTCCTTACCGGGGAGCAGCGCACTTCACCACTACACCATCCGGGCCGAGTTGTGTTTCGCAACATACGCTGCCATTAAGATGAAAAAGGCAGTAAACAAAAGGTTTAAGACTAGTGCTTTTGCTTTTGAGCTTTTCATCTCATAGCTCACCTCATTTTGTGGTCCGTTTGAATCTGCATCTACCGCTTTGACGCTTGTAATCGGCTTCCTGCCGAATCTGTAACGAAGTATGTATTGATTTGTCCCGAACAATATACACAGTTTGTAAGCCTACTGTAAGTCGATCTCATTCTTTAAAATGTTTTTCAATAATAGCTTTCCTTCAAAGTTCTTCATATTTTCCTTTAGCAAACACCACGTATTATTATTTCTTCGCAAACAGATATTCCACCCGTGATGCTGCGCAGCATTTAAGCCTGTTATTCTGATTGGAGGGGCGCATTATGCTTCCAAGTGACGGTTGGTTTCCACGCAACCTACTCAGTGACTCGTAGAAAGCACTGAGTGTGCAAAGAAGCCACTTTGTGTTCAATGTGATTGATATTTTTGTCTAGCATTCTCCCCGTTTAGTTATGGAGGTGTTTGGCTAGGTAGATTGCAGGCAACTCGACCATTGCAGGCTCTGAGGAAGGCAAAATCCGCCAAAACGTCAGTTTGTGCGTAAATAACGAAATAATAGAGAACTGCTCGATTGATGCCGAGGTTAATAGAAAGTCGGTCGTGCGAGCTTTGTTAAAGTTGTGTTCTAAGTCACACAAGCTTCATTTCCACTCTTACACATTATACCACGAGTCCATTTAAAAGACTCAAAATACAAAAATTAGCATCTTATTTGCTGATGAACTTGTTTTTCATCCTCTAGAACTAACTAGTTACTCATTAGCTGTGACCAGACGAAAATCCCGAACCTCGTTAGTTAGGGGTGTGAGATTGAACCAGCGATGATGTGTGTGCTGCAGGGCACCTCTAGCCACTGCGCTATACCGGCCCAAAGCAAGAAAAATAGCTAAGATCACCTTGAATACTTACTTTTCTAGATATTCTGCAGGTGTTAGTTCTTCGTCGACAGTACCGGTGAAAAGATCGACAGTGAACTGTGGTACGACATCATTAACATCATGTACCAATACGGTGAACGATCTCGACGAAGATACATGCGAATTAACATCCTGAAAATCAGGGAATGTTCGTCAAGGAAGGTATAGATCTATGAGTTCATGAAACTTAAGGTTAGTACGAATCAAATTATGAGCAATGCACTTCTTTACTTGTATGTGATTGATCATACCGTAGCAGTAAGAGTAAGCGTATAATTGTGAGCTTGTTCGTAATCCAATGGCTCCATGATCACCACCTCAACCCATTCACGACCATCTTCAATTTTGTTGAACTGACGAAATTTCGAATCCGCTTTTCCGGGACGAATCACTCCACCGTTGCTCAACCGGAAAAAAACTGATCGTATGACCTCTCCTTCCCTATTTTACTTTGTTCTTCACGCGTTTTGCTCTTAATCCTTGAACAACAACAATATCAATATTAACCTTTTTATTTACTGCCTGTTCTTTTTAACGGCAGGGTAAGTCGTGAAATATAACTTCCATAATGCTGATATATTTGCAAAACTCCGGACCGCAGGTGTAAATAAAAAGGTTGGGATTGTGATTATAACTATAGCCTCAGTTTAACTGGGTTCAATGCTGATTTGGACTCCCCAGATCAATCCCGTTGACGGGTGATTGCTGATGGCAGAAGATCGATAGAACTTGCTGAGAGACAGGCGAAACGAAGGACCCACCTGGTGTGGTGGTGAACACATTACTCCCTGGAAAGGGCAATAGCGCGTTCGTCCCCCACCGCAGACACCTGCGGTCCGGAGTTTTGCAAATATCTCAGCATTATACGAATATCAATATTGTTTCCGTCCGTTTATAACCGCATCCTATCGTGAAATGTTAACACTTGTGCTTTAAGCTCTTAAAATTAAAAAAAAAACAATAAAAAAATGAAAGATAAAATTTTAAAAAAAAGGCTAGAAGGATAAGGTTGAAAAGCTGAAATGAAAATTGCATAGGGGATTCTTTGCCTCACTCTATTAGCCTCACTAATAAGTCTTTACTTCGTTTCAATACAACATCCGATTTAATAATTCTTTCTGAAAAGGTACTTAAAAATGTTAACTCTAACGATTAAAATAAATATAGCGGTCAAAATGAAAAATCGAGTTTATGTCAACCACAATGATTCTGAGATATTTTGAAAACTCCAGACCGCAGGTGTTCGCGGTGGAGAACGAATGCGCTCTAATCCTTTCCGGGCGCTAACGCGCTCACCACCACACCACGCGGGTCCTTCGTTTCGCCTTCTCTCTTCTCGCCTTCAGTTCTCTCGATCAATGCCATTGATTTTATTTCTAGTAGAACAGAACATAACTCACTTATAGACAACTGAACTCTTCGAACCATCTCCAGCAACCGCACGACATCGTAAAAGTACTTTATTCATCTGAATCAGGTCAAATGTTTTGAAGAAAAATGGGAAAAAGGCGTTCAGCAAATCACAAAGATTTGATGTCAGCTGGAAAACGAAGTACAAATCTTTTAATTTCGTTTTTTTTTTCGTTCGTACTTTCATCCACAATTTTATGAACTCTCCGTTTCTATCCTAATATTCTTCAAAGGATGAAATTCGTTCGAAACATTTTAAAATCTTTGTTCTTAATTAATTCACTCTACCTCTGTGTTCTCCACAACTGTCACCTCCTTTTTGCAGTCAGAACTTGATTGCCATCTTGGAGCTAACTGCTGTTTTTCGTGCACCTTGATCGTCACCTAAAACAATATTGCTTTATTTCCTTATCTATTGGATGATTGTAAATTTTTTTTGCAGCAGACTGGAAAAAAGAATCCTTCTACAAAGGATGGAAAAAGCATAAAGCGTTCGGTGTGGGTTAATCTTTGAATGATACAGAATGCATTCCATTTCATCCCTTTCAGACAAGTCTGGTACGAATACGTAGAGCCCGGAGGAAAGGAAAGCTTGGTGGGCCAGGGTCGCGTGATCGAACAAGAGACCACGTGTGTATAACAGAACACATCTAATCACTGCGCTTACACTCGTCAATTCCTTTTATGCCAAAAATGTCCGTGCAAATACGATTTTAGTTTGGGTTTAACCAGAAAATCTCAAATTTGCAAGCGACAATGTTACCTGAACTGTGGACATTTGTGCTTCCGGAATACCATTGTCATCAGCAATAACGTTGAATACGAATTTTTCCTTCTAAAAAAAGGCTTTCGAAAATGTAATATATAGACCGAAGACTGATCGGTTCCTACCTTAGCCCTGGGTATTGGCTTTACGAGCGTTATCTCTCCTGAGTGCTCATTAACAATTTGAAAGAAGCTGATGTCGTTTAGGAATTCTTCCCCTGAAATAAAAACTAGCGTAGCAATTCCTTAACTACGGACTTCCCATCTCTAGTTTAGCTAATTAGGACATAAAAGCAGTCTTTTTTTTTTTTATAAATTTTCGAAATCAAATAATGGTAATATATCAATATAATATAATAGTAGTAAATAATCAATAATATCCACTATGCGAACAAAGCACCAACCTGCCGACGGATCTGGCTCTAAGTGGTAAGTGACGTTTGCATTGTGAGGAGCATCTGTGTCAAACGCGAACACAGTGAGAATAGAAGTCCTTAAAAAGAAATTTTGAAAAACTACGTCTTTAAATAGTAGAACCTAACCTTGTAATAACTGCTCGTGTAACTCAGTGGTTAAAGGTCTTTGTAATACACATCTAGTTCATTGGTTCATTCACGCGGTGCGAGTATAACAAGGCTTCCATTCCTTCGGGGTCAGCGAATTGCTGTCAAACTTGTCTGGGGGGGTAGCGGCACTAACCTGATGCAACGATGCGCTACTCCAGTAGTCATTGAATTTCCCAGATAAGCATTCATTCACCACTAACGATGTTTGATGAAGGCAAATGCACGGCGCATCCCCCCAGGGATTGATCAACACCGAGTGCTTTACGCTTTTTTTTGATATAATGGTAATCACAGGTTATTTTCTCATAATAGAACCTGCTAATACATGCTTTCTTCCTAGAAAAAAATTTTCGGAGACATTTATGACATCAAAAAATAGCATCCCAGGAAAAAATTTTTTAAAGACAATTCAGTGATGACGTTCTTTATCGCCTACTTCGTTAGCGCCACGATAAAGGTTAAACACTAATCTCTACAAATCGGATTTTACCGAAAACTTACGAAGTGCTAACGAACTTAGCGCTTTATATAAGCGTAGAAGCGGTTTTCTTGTGATCGGTGGTGAGCAATGCCTAATGCATCAGACTCTATTCACAGCATCGTAGAGGTGATTGAAAGTATATTTGGCTCGTATAACAACTTAGGGAAGCTAACGATGTGCCATGACAGTGCAGTGCTGCTGCTCTCTAAGATAAGTCTGCTGGAACTGGAGGCATGCAGGGTTTGGAGGGATCGAATCAACGACCACATATTTATTTGAGGCGCTTCTAACCACTGTGCTGGATGAATCGTGAAATCGTTGATGTTACCGAAAAGCTCATCAGAACTCGTAATACCCTATGGTTTCGCTTCTAGATACGCTAGTTTCATAGGAGGCTCGATCAAATTGTGGCGCATTGTCGTTCACGTCGACCACTTCTATCGAAAACTGGCAAAATCCGATCAGTGGTCGATCACCTCGATCTGTTGCCTAAACAGCACGTCTTCTCTCTGAAGAAAACCGAAAGATTTAATCTTATTTCCTATTTTCGTGAGTTTAGAGTTATTTCTGATTATTGAAAACGAAATAGTAATAAATGTAAAGATTTGAAAGACTAGAACTGCATATTTTACCGTGTTCATGAAATGTAGAAGGTTATTTTGCTTGCTTACTTGATACTTGAATGGCCGTCCTCACTAGTTGTGCGAACTCCAGCATAATCTCCATTTTTCGGAGGTTTGCTGGTTAAGCCATTATGGTTCCCTGGAGTCCCGAGGTCAGCCTGGCCAAAGTCTGCCCCAGGTCTTCACCACCACGGACAGTCGCAGCCGTTGTGGGTCAGAAGGAGATTTACCACCATACGACTTTGATACCAGGACGGTGGTGGATCCTGGTATTGGTTTACTCTTAGCTAGGTTTCCTGATGGAAACGCCAGACTCCTCAGCTTGGAAGACCCTGCCAGAGGATGAATCCACCGCTGTACACTGCAGTCCGACACCCAGGAACACCTCTCAGCCACTATGAGGCGGTAAACCGTTGGAAGAAGGTTATTTTAGGTGAGGAAAATTAGTTTTCACCAGGTTATTCAACATAGACCTAATTCGAGTAGCATTGTTATAAAATCTACTAAACCAAGTGTGTTAAGTAACTGAGAAAAAAGGCTTCACACAACAAATATTTTTTTCAGCACTAGCACAGAATAATTTTGCGTAACTCTATCATCTTTGCGAAACTCCTAGATAGAACTATCTGGGAGACAGGCGAAACGAAGGACCCGCATGGTATGGTGGTGAACACGTTACTCTCCGGAAAGGACAATAGAGCATTCGTTCCTTATCACAAACACCTGTAGTCCGGAGTTTTGCAAATATCTCAGCATCATTGAAGTTATATTTCGCAATATGCCCTGCCATTAAAAAAGAGTAGGCAGTGAAATAAATACGCTTTCACTACAGGATATGATGTCAGATACAACCACAACGATGCTGAGATATTCGCAAAGCTTGGACCGCAGGCCACATCTAACCACAATTACTCTTTCCGGTGCTCGCGTATTTCACACTGCACCGCGCAGACCCTTGCTTTGCGCTTCTCTCAGCTAATAAAAAGGTTAACATTGTGATTTCGACTACAGCCTCATCTTAACTGGGTTCAATGGCGATTTGTGCTCCCCAGATTAATCCCGCTAACGGGTGATTGCTGATGGCAGCGTTAGGTAGAAAACTAGCTCGGAGAAACGCAAAAAATGGGCCTCCATAGTGCAATGTGTAATACGCGAGTTCCCGTAAAGGGTAATCGTGCTTTGATCTGGCCCAGTGTCCAACTTTTGCGAATATCTTAGCATCGTTGTGGTTCTACCACCTTTCTTAGTTTTTGGGTAATTCAGAAAGAGTTTGACTTTTTAATGGTATATCTCTGTGGCTGACGACTGTCACCTTAAGACACTGTGCTTCATCAAAAGAACTGCTAAGACCTAAAAACGTTAAATCCTATTTTTTCTCAACTTCATCATAAAAGATGAGCCAATTCAATGATAAGCGTTTAATATTAGGCTTTTACATCGATTGAAAGATTATTAATTCAATAAAAATGCGAAGTACACAAAACAGTTCTGAGCGTAAAAATTTTTTCTAACAATCTAGTGTAAGCAGAACCACTGAAGGAAGTATTTAATTCTAAGCATTAAAAATATAAAGATGGTAGGATTTTTTTTAAAAAATTGTGTGGAAAATGTATTTTGTAACATTATAAAGGTGGTGCTGAACTATTGTTAACACCATCTGACGACAATACTTACGTCGTTTCTACAGAAATTTTATTATACACCTACTATAAAGTATTCGGAAAACTATTCTCGAACCTTAACGGTGACGTCTTCACGCGGACGAGTTTCCCTGTCAAAGATGACATGCGGTGACGGAGTGAGTACGCCGGTGAGCTTATCGATGACAAATGGTTTTCTGGATTCACTTTGAGCATAATAAAGCGAGTAGACGATCTGACCATTCGCTGATGAATCCTCATCGGTTGCCTCTACCTAAGTTAAATCATGATAATACAATGCATTACCTTTTCTTTCCTGCTTATGATTATTTTATTCACTGCCGTGTACTATCTGGAATACAGCCACAATGATGGTGAGAAATTTGCAAAACTTAAACGTTAAGCAAGCAACACTCGAACTCGTGATTACCTTTTCTGGAGCTTGCGTATTACCTACTACATGCTTTGCCTTTTTCTCGGCTAGTTTTTTTACCCCAACGGTGCCATCACCTGCCAAGGGGAATGATCCGGAAGCATAAATCTGCATTGGGCCCAATTAAGCTGGGGCACACTGTACTAATATTGTTACCATTTTCGTATACATGATCCTTCATCACATCTGCCTTTAGGATGCTAGCACTTCTTGCATTTGATCCTCGCATTCGTCATCCATATCTTCGAACACTGTTTCGCGTGTTGTTCCGTTGCTGCTTGAGGATTTCGTCTTCTTTACGAATGTTATAGAGTGTTGATTGAGCTGATTCTCTTTGAAACATTGGAGATAGGTCAGCCAAGACGCTCTCTCGGCTCGTGGAAGAGGGCGATAGGGGGAGGGGGTCGAACTACTGATTCGCTTCCTGATTGACGGCATTACTAACCTATGCACTACCGTTTCTTCCTCTGGTGTTGCTGTTAAAGCTATTCAGTGTTCGATATTTTGAAAAAAAATAAAACAGAGTTAGCCCATTAAACTAGATTTTAGGCAGATAAAGCATTATAGAAGTGTATATTTCCTTAAGCAGTAGTAGTAACCAGCGGAATCTCTTTAATTCACCAATACAGCAATCAATCGAGCAGAAATTTGAGTCAAACCAATTCAATCTTGTTCATCACTAAACTTTCTTTCTAGAATAATACCGTAATTAGGAAGTTACTCCTCATTTTTCCATTTGCTTGGTTTTCAAGAAAAATGTGCTGCCCACTCTAATAATCGTTGGTGGATCCTTCTTGTAAACGCCTTCTTGAATTTTCGCCACTTCACCGTAACTGGCACAATCACGGAACTCTGGCTTATTGTTATTCACATCCTCAACACCTAAAATTACAGTCGTAGTCCGAATTCTATTTTAAATTCTACAGATGAATGGTTGGTGAGAAGAACAACACAAAAAATATTTGCAATTTTTAGGTTAGGGCGCGTGTGGCGCAGTGGTCTGCGTCGCCCTGCAACACACACTTGGAATCGATCCCCGCGCCCATTGCCCACCAAGCCTTCCATCCCTCCGAGGACAGCAAATTGTCACCAGACTTGTCTGGGAGGATAGCAGCACTGCCTCGATACATCAGAAGGCTATCGCGAGTTATGTGCATCCAATCACTTCCAAACGATGCTTTATGAAATCGAATGCATGGCGCATCCCTCAGGGATTGATCAACACCGAGAGCTTTATCCTTTTCTATCTTTTAGGCCGAAAAATTAGAACCGCGAAATCTTCATGCAGTCAACTTTTGTAATCAATAGAAAGCGAATTTTTTCTAATCCTCTATTTATTCTAAGTTATTCGAATTCAAGCGATTGAAATATGTCAGTGGTCGTATATAATGCTGAGATATTTGCAAAACTCCGGACCGCAGGTGTATGCGGTGAGGAACGAACACGAGCTGTTGTTCTTACCGGGGATCAGCGCACTTCACCACCACACCATCCGGGTCCTTCGTCTTGGCTATCTCTCAGCTAAATCTATCGATCTTTTTGCCATCAGCAATCATCCGTCAACGGGACTGATCTGGGGAGCCCAAATCGGGATTGAATCCAGTTAAGCTGAAGCTTAGTTATAATCACAATCTTAACCCTTTTATCGATAGAACTAGCTGAGAGACAGGCAAAATGAAGGAGCCGGATGGTGTGGTGGTGAAGTGCGCTGCTCCCCGGTAAGGACAACAGCGCGTGTTCGTTCCCCACCGCATACACCTGCGGTCCGGAGTTTTGCAAATATCTCAGTATTATATACGAGTTATATTTCGTAACATACCCTGCCATTAAAAAGAAAAAGGCAGTAAATAAAAGGGTTAAGATTATGTCAGTGGTCTTCAAAAATATCTATGGAATAAGGAACAAAAAGTAAAACGAAAACATAGAAACCAAATAAATTTTCACAGTCTTGCATGTTCCCATTTTCTTGCTACGAGCTTCCAGGCGACATCCTAACTAGATTGATTTCTTACCATTTTAAGGATGAAAAATGAATTGATGGTATTTTTACACTCTGTTTTTACTTGCTTTCACTAGTTCTAATCTCTTCGGCAATTTAATATGCTTTTAAACAAAAATTAAAGTACAAAAACGCCTTCATTAGTTCAATTTTTGTGGTTTCGAACATCAACACCAAAGTGTCAAATCCTGTTTTATAAAATAGCAATATAATAGTTAAATTCTTGGCGAAGGTGTTGTTGTAAAACAAGTCATAAGATTACAGAAAAAGCTGAACTGATTGAATAAAAATAAAGGATAGAGATCTCGGCGTGATCAATCCTTGAGGGATGCGCCATGCATTCGACTTCATTAAGTATCGTTGGAGGTGACTGAATGCATGTCTGGTCTTTACAATGAGGCGTACCGATCTGTCGAGCCAGTGCTACTGTCCTTCCAGACAGTACCAATTTTCTCAGTCCGAAATGGAAGACTTGGTGAACCACAGGAGCGGGATCGTTCTCGTGTGTATCCAGTTGATTGAAACCATCGTCCAATTTGTATTAGGCTCAGAATTGTGTTAACATTATATTATATTGCTCATAATACATTAATTATTACACATCGAAAAACCATCATTGCAAAGAATGTCGTACCAATAAGAACTGTAGCCAAAGCCGAATGTCGAACGGATTCCGAAGCGCAACACGATCCGTCATCTCTGGCGATTACTGTAAGATTGTAGGGTGTAGTATTCTGAAGCAGTTGAGAGACTTGAACTCCTGGTCGAAGCTTGATTAATCCTGGAATTTCCTCAGTTAAGGTGAAAATTGAGAAAAAACACGAATGAGAACAACTAGAATTCTTAAATTCGGTTTTTATCCCTGAAGAAAAAGCATAGAAGCTAAGTAGTTAAAAAACGAATATTACAAAAATGAATAAAGGATAGAAACAACGAAATCATGGAGCTTATTCAAATTTGAAAGCGGGGAAAACTGGGTCGACCTTCACAACTGAAACGTGAAGGACATGCTGAATTACAAAAAAAAAGGAAAACTTTTTGGTAACCAGAAGAAAAAACTAAATTGTGTAGCTGTGTTGCATTAGGATTCACCAGTATCTTTGTCTATCTGGAATAAATTGGTCTCATAGGTCTCAGTACCCTCGTCGTCCACGAACGCATATTCGACTTGGTCGCGGTCAGGGTCGCGAGCCTAAAAAAAGCGAGTGCCGTTACTTTTCGAGGAATATGACTCATAGAGCGGTCCTTACAAATGTTGGTAACAAAATAAAAAAAAAAACAGAAAACTGTAGTGGAATCGCATCGCCATGGACTTCTTTCTTCTTTACCCATAGAGAATAACTCAGTTCTGATAAGTGGCCCACGTCTATATCGCTTTCTTCTTAGAATGCATGTTTTGACAAGTGTATCCACTTTTCATTTCAATATTCAAACTGTAAAAATATGAGCAACTTACCGCAGAACTGAGTTATTTTTTGTGAAAGAAACGAAGAAGAAAAAGATCTATAGGATAGGATCGGATACTTTTATTGTCAATAAATTTAAGATTGGGATCAAGATTGGACTTTAGAGAGTATCGGCGGTTAAATTTTTCAAGAAAATGCTTATCTCTGACGTAAGAAAGATTTTTAAAAGATAGATAAAGCAAAAGAAAAGCTAGCTTAATTGAACAGTTATCAAGTATCTTTGGCAGAATTAGAAGAGAAACTCATTCGGACTGTCACAAAAATACTAATGTTTATTTCTTGTTATCTATTTAGGGGCGCGTGTGGCGCAATGGTTGGAGGCGCCGCTGCAACACACACGTAGAATCGATCACAGCGCCCATGGCTCACCAAGCCTTCCATCCCTCCGGGCTCGGCAATTTGGTACCAGACTTGTTTGGGAGGATAGCAGCACCGGCTCGATACATCGGTAGGCCACCGTAAGTCATTGCAAAGGCCAGACATGCATTCAATTACCTCCAACGATCCTTAACGTGAAGTCGGATGCATGGCACATTCCTCAGGGAATGATCATCAACACCGAGAGCTTTATCCTTTTTTATCTATTTTAGATGAGCTCTCATCACATGTGAACTGCAGTTTAGCTTAAATTAATCAAAATCTAGCTGGTATCAATCAGATCTCAGCAACATATTCACTTAGTTTACAAAGAGAGATAACTATCAGACTACAAGGCAAGAGAAAGATTGGAAAAAACAAGTGGAGGAAGCTGTGAGACCAAAATGATTTAGTGAAACAACGACTGGACATAAATTAACAACGATCAGTTAAGGAATAAGGTCTTGCAATACACCGCAATTGTCCTAGAAAATAGATGAAAACGGCGATCTTATGGATTTCTATACTGATTTGCCTGTCAGCTTCCAGAAAATGTTATTGGCTATTTCATATCAATAACATCTACCTGTATCTGAACGACTGGCGTACCACCTTGTGCGTCCTCAGCGACAAAAGCCGTATACTGTCTGGTCGGAAAGAAGACCGGCGCCTCATCGTTGGTGTTCTCCGTTCGAATGTGCACCTATAAAAAAGATTTTTAAATGAAAGCTTTAAAATTCTTGCACCATAAACTAGTGTGAATTTTGCATCTATTACTGAGTTGTTAAAATCAATCCTTTTTGTCATTAAAATATGTTCTAAGCAGTTTAAAGCGTGACTTTTAAGAGCTGATGGTACTCATTGCAACATTTATCCAAAAATCTATCCACTTTTTAAATCATCAACGTAAATAAGTGGACAATTTACATAATATTAGGATCAGAACTCTCAGATGGTAAAGCACCGGGGATGATTAGTAGTGAGGGAACATAGCGCGTTTGTAGATACCAAGAGAGTTAAACGTAGACAAGAAGCAACCATTTACATATCTCTGAAAATCTGCTTTTATTCAACTACCGCATAAATAACTAATAATTTTTTGTATTATTAACCAAGCACGACATTCGCAATAACTTTTATTTGGGCAACGTTTTGGCATTGTTGGCCATCGACTCGGACCAATCCGGCTTCGAAGAAGACGAAGACGTCGAGACATCAGTCCAATAAAACTTATTAACTCGTCTTTGCTTAGCAATCTACGAGTTCATCTAAATAGTACCTCTAAAACATAGGTGGTTTCCAAAGATGAGATCCGTACTTGTACTACGGACTCGTTGAACCACGCAAGCTACTCTTCGGTACATTAGTCGCCTATATTAGGGCTCACTAAGCTAATCGTAAACATCCTCTTGTTAAGAAGAAAACGTAGAAATATGTACCTCTCTTACAAATTGAACCAACTGGATAACTTTAACCCTGTAGAAAGACTACTAGCACTTCCTATAACCCACTTGACTGTGAACGAAAGGTCTGAGTGCTACAAGTGATAAGATGAAAAGATCAAAAGTTAACCTCTACTTAGATTCACGTCTTTATGAATTTTCTCTTGAGGCTGAGATATTTATTTTTAGTTAAAAACTTGAATTAAGTGAATTTTTGGAAACAAAAATGATAGGAGGTCCGTAAAAACTCCGTGAAAAGTTAAAATGAACGAGTTTAAATAATAATAAGAAATAGTTCTAAGCTTTTAGCTCTAATAATAAATAGCCTAAAAAAACAAAATCGATGTATTTGTATTGTTTAAATCTATTGTTTACAGATGTATTTGTAATCGATGTATTATTTACAGATGTATTTGAATATTATAACTAAATTCCAAAAACCGGCCTTCTTTTAACGCCAGCAATGATAACCCAGAATAAAGAACCACCAAAAATAATATCTTAACCCCTTTAATATAAGTCGTATGAGATGCTGAGATATTTGCAAAACTCCGGACCGCAGGTGTATGCAGTGGGGAACGAACATACGCTGTTGTCCTTACCGGGGAGCAGCGCACTTCACCACCACACCATCCGGGTCTTTCGTCTTGCCTATCTCTCAGCTAGTTCTATCTATGTTTTTGCCATCAGCAATCACCCGTCAACGGGATTGATCTGGGGAGCCAATAAGATTGTGGTTATAACTAAGCCTCAGCTTAACTGGGTTCAATGCCGATATTGGCTCCCCAGATCAAACCCGTTGATGGGTGACTGCTGATGGCAAAAAGATCGATAGATTTAGCTGAGAGATAGGCAAGACGAAGGACCCGGATGGTGTGGTGGTGAAGTGCGCAGCTCCCCGGTAAGGACAACAGCGCATGTTCGTCCCCCACCGCATACACCTGCGGTCCGGAGTTTTGCAAATATCTAAGCATTTCATACGAAAAATAATATCGTCAAAAATATAGCGCACTGTCACTAAATATATGGGTTCTCATGAAAGCAAATTTACATAGTAAAGTGACGTCATTTAATTACCTAGAAGATCTGCTTACCGTAGCATTCGAACTGAGCGATGGGCTTCCGGAATCGATGGCGGTAACATTAAATCGATATATGAAGAAACGCTCCTTGAACTGATCCGCATCCAATCGATTCTGGAAAAACGAAACACTTTCTTGAAATTTCCCGTATTAAAAAAGTTGTGGGGACTGAGAACATGCTTTGTTTTCTCATCAAGTTCCTTAGAAGTTCAGTAATCCCGAAATTTGTTCTATTTCTAGTTCCATATTCATCTTCTTGGGGAGAACAACTTATGAGCGAGTCATTAAACAAAACGATATGAAAACTAGATGGGCAAATATATAGAGAGAGTAAGCTCGGTAGGAGACTAATAATGTTTATAGGTTAGACCTTAGCAGAGATCTCTCCCTTATCGTTCACCGTAAAGTTATTGTTGTCCACAGTATACCGAACTCTGGCGTTTTCACCGGAATCCTTGTCCTCAGTTTGAACTGGAACAAGAAAATTATTCAAATAAGTTTGTTTCTATATCGAAAAAAGTCCAGCTCCAATCTAAAGAAGATTTCGGGACGGTTTTCTGCCTGTAGGCCCTACATACGGTTATCCTTTAGCTTCAAAATACGCACTAATTCAACCCTTCCCAAAAATCGTCCAAGCAATCCACTCTATTATTTCAGCTCTTTTTCTAATCGAAGTCATTCCCGATAACCGTTTCGCACTATTGAAATAGTCTAGGCCATATCCAAACCTTCTTCTGCATAGAAAAACTTTGTTCAGAATATGAATGCGTCGTTTTCTTGTTCAGCGAGGTTAATAGAAAGCCGATCCTGGGAACTTTTATTCAGAATATCAGAAATGTAGAGAGATGTGACACTGCGCACAGACTGCACTGCACACAGGCTATCACCACTTAGGATAAACTTTCACGATGTGCAACATTCTTCCTATATACCTGATGAACGGAGAACTTTTCTGAGAAAATTTTGAGAAAAATATCACCTCACCTGTGAGTATTGGCTTCCCTACGGGAAAATCTTCTCTCACTTGTGTAGTGTAAAGAGGTCTGCTGAATATAGGAGCGTTGTCGTTCACATCGATGATGTGCACGTCCAATGGAACGCTCGACTCCTTTCCGTCTTCGCTAGCAACAACTGAAATTCACGAAACAAATTGTATTTGTATTGTTCAAGACATTGAGCAATACCTTAAAAATATGCCATTAATGGATCGAACCCTTTAGTCTTCCCAGACATCTCTTCCTAGAAATCTTTCCAGACAAGGCTGGTGAAGACGCACTGATCTCGGAAGGATGGGGCTTAGTTAACACAGGGCGCATTATCGAACCAATGAGCTTGGTGTATTACAGACACCACTAGCCATTGCGCTACACATATCCCGGCTGTTTGATGAATTATATGGTATATTTCACGACTTTCTTTCTACTTAAGGCTTCTTGTTTATTACAGCAATTTCTAAAAGGGTAAAGGATGAAGCTCTCGGCGTTGATCAATCCCTAAGGGATGCGCTATGCATCCGACTCCATTAGGCGCTGTTGGAGGTGATTGAATGCATATCTGGTTTTCACAATGACTTGCGGTGGCCTATCGATGTATCGAGCCAGTGCTGCTTTCCTCCCAGACAAGTCTGGTGCCATTTTGCCGAGCCCGGAGAGATGGAACGCCTGCCGAACCTGGGGAGCGGAGATCAATCCTACGCGTATTGCACGGCACCTCCGACCACTGCGCTATACTCACTCTACGGTGAATGCTATATATTACAAATCATCACATTATTGGCTGCCTTTGCATATAAGTTATCTCTTAGTGAAGAGCTTGCAAAATTCCGCAGATACAAACAAATTTTTAAAATTTATCTGCTAGAATACTGTTCTAAAATTTCGTCCCACATAATTTTATTGCACTGAACATTACCGTAGTTAGGAATTTGGCCCTGATCTCATCAAGTGAACAACTTCTAGTAACATCGTTGGAAAATTAGAAATAAAATCACTGGGAATGGAATTCGTAATGCGAGAAAACAGTAACCAGTGAAAACTCCTTTCTGGGTTTTAAGAGCAGTTTGACCCATTTGTAGGACACTTTCCACCTGCCAATGAATTTCCGCGAGCTTAAAAAATACCAGTTCGATATGCTTCATAAGTTAGTTCCTTTGAGAGTTCCTCGCTTAACTCTAGAGATTAATTTAGTATATTGTAGTTCGATATTTTCTTAAGAGAAGACCTACAAATGTCACTTTTTAAATTGCCATTCAAGTTCGAAGAAAAATTTTAAAGAATATCCGTTCTCTCTAACGTTCTTGTTCCTACGAATTTCAATCGGTGCCATATCGCAGTCTAAGCCATTCATATGATGAAACGATGATTAAAATCAAAATTCCCATCTCTGCATCTGAACGCCGTGGCGCTCAGCTCTGGTCCATTGTCAATTACACTGGGCCTGGATAACAATCAAGACGACTTATGTCTCACACTTCACAAGTGATGGATGAGATCCCTAATGGGTTAGACACCTCTAGTTCCTTTAAATGAACTAAAGGCTGAAAACCAATGTTAGTCGTCTTCTTGATTCACAACCGAAATCTGACATTTCAGTGTCGGCCTGGGTTTTGAAGTTGCATAACACCGAGCAGCTGTTACAAAATCGTGCATAATTTTGGTTCGAATGATCCATTACAGGGATAAGTGCCTTGAGATTGGAGATTCGTCAGGCACTAACGATATTAGTATTAGTAACGACACGGATAATCATTCTAATGAACTCCCGACTAGTGGCACCACTGTCATAAGGTTGCGGCCGGCTCATTTGTTACTTAGGTGATCGACCGCATCCCAAGAGACGCTCATCTTCCTGATCGGATTAAGCCGTGCGTTGTTGCCCATGGTCTTGTATTAATTTGCTAGATAGTTCACCAGCTTTTCGTTAGTCTTGAACCACTTTCAGCCAAATGTCTCTAATTTTATATCATAAAACATGATTTGCTTGTTGAGGAATGTCGAAGAAACGCTGAAAGCGACCAGTTGAAACAGACCTACAGATATTTTTCTGTGCTGTGCTAATGGTTGCTAATGGTTCGAAAGCATTTGGTTAAACTAGACTGGTTTTTCTTTAGGCAACGACATTTTTCAAATCCCTCTAAACCTAAGCGGTTCATCCGATAACCGCTAACGTTTCGCCGGCGATCTTGATAGGGTCGCCGAAAATGTGAAGGTTAATTAAAGAAAGGAAATTAAACAGAAGCGATAAAATACTAGCGAAAGGAAGTGGTTAAGATATAGATATTGAGAAATGGCAATTAAAACTGGAGCAAAGAGCCGAACAAGGATTGTTCTTTAACAAAGTCTCTGTTCTTCTCCAGTATTTGTTTAATTCGATGAGCCGGTAGCTTACATCTACGATCTGGTTCTTACAAAATTCCTTTAAGATTTCCTTACTTAATAACCAGTTAGGTTTAGCTATGAGAAGCATGCCCTGGTTTGTTGAAGCAAAAACAGTTATGTTAATTTATTGCTTTCTTAATTACCAGGCTCGAGGTTACTACTACGCTCATCAAAGAAACTGCAAATTATTAACTAATATCGAGGCTAATAGAAACCTAGTTTTCGGATTTACAGGTGCACTAATTCCTTAGCTTTAGTAAGTTCTCTAGAACAATTCACTTTTCAACCATAGGGTGGTTGAACGCTCACTGATCTGCTAAAGTAGTGCTCCAGCACACATCGTCATAGGACCATCCATACATCAAGAATAAATATACCAATAGGTTGGATTAAAACTGTATAAATAAATTAAACAGTGGTGAACGGTACCGGTTAATTTATAGAGCTTTGGTTGTGACGGATCATCGTAATCAAGTAGACGTCGTAGATGAACAACACCAGTCTTCGGGTCAATGCCGAACATCGTCGTCTCTTCGCGCTGACCATTACCTACTCCATGGTTACTCCACACTGAGTAGAGTAACTCGCCTTTTGTTCGACCATCATCAATAGCACGGAAACGATGTGCTCGAACGTCTACAACACTGAAATGAGGAAATTTTTCTCTATTCAGCCACTATGTTCCCAATATTCCTTCCAACTCCATTTTCTCCGACATTAAGTCTTTTTGTAGAAAAAAACTCCTATGGATTAAGTTTTTTCGAGAAAATACAATTTTTATCGTTAAAAAACACTTTTTGTGTTTGCAAAGTCCCAGAAGAAAATCATCAACAGTGGTAAGCAACGACGATGAAGAAAATATGGAGAAGAGTACTTGAGCAAGATTACACGGCTCTGCCTAAAACGGTTTTTCACGGCTATTTTCCGAGATGTTTGCTCTTTAGACCTGAATCCCAATAGAAAATTTCTTTTATTTACTTTATAGTAACGGGCAAAGGATAAAGTGTTTAGAATTGATTAATCACATTAGGACGCACATGAATTCAACTCCATTTGTAGAGTACTAAAGGTGGCTGAATTCATATTTGGCCTACACAATGAGCCACGGTGGTTCACTGATACATGAAATCATCTTTGTATCCCTCCCAGACAAGTCTAGTGCCAATACGTAACCTCTGTGGATTAGTTGATTTGACTCGAGCTGGATACAGGATCCCACTAGCGAACATGTGTATTCTGTGCTTTTCTTCGTGAACAAACACACAGTTGTTATTAGAGTATCTATTAATACATAATAGCTCATATTTCGGCGGTTTCGCCTTCTTTAGAGCCTTAGAAGGTCAAACTGACATACGCTCTACTCAGCCAAACACTTTCAGAACCTTAATAGCCGAAATCTAATACACAAATTTTCATCGGCATGATGAACGACGTCGTTGTGCCTAACAGGGATCTTCAGGGAAAAGTCGCTACGCTCGAACAGAAATCCAAAACTTCAGCGCGTACAACTCTTGAAGTTTACTCCTCAAGTTACTCTTGAAGTGTTTTGAATAAATTCCAAAAGCCCATGAATGAGCCACAAAGAGGAGTCCTTGTGATTACGCGTGACCTAGCGCCGTACTGCAGACTGTTCCTTTGACCTGTGTCGGACATATACCTCGCCCATGTAAGACTCCGTACGGCTGGTGTCCACCAATTAAGTGGTAGACTTACAACAAACAAAACGGTGGATGTTTAAAAGGAGCTGTTCATAAGGCGAATAGAAATTTATGTGTTAGGTTTTCTTTGATGAGGTTATGAAAGTATTTGCCTGAGTGGATTGCACGTCAATTTGACCTTTTCAGGCTCTGAAGAAGGGAAAGTCGCCGAAACGTCGACTATTGCAAATGAATAAATGTTGTAACAATAACCTCATGTTCGCTGATTAAAAAACAGTAAAATATTGATCAACGTTAGAGCTAGGAGAAAATCGGTCTTGGGATCATATGTGTATTACAGGGCAACTCTCACTACTGCTCTACATGCCACTAAATCTAATTCATAGCAGCAAAGCAAAACCCGGTTGAATCCTAGTCCAGTTAATTAACTAGAGTTAAATTAATTAACGTAATTGTTCAAGTGTGCACAACTTTGGCATGTAAGCAAGCATTCACATCTATTTTTTCATCCTCAAATGTTACAAATATGTATATCTCAAAAGCTGAAGAAAATCATACAAACCTGTAATCGACAAGGCTGTCCTCAGAAAGGGAGACGCTATAATGCTGCTGAAGAAACTGTGGTGGACGATCGCCGGCAAGGATTTCCAGCTTCGCCACTTCGGATTCCTAGATACTCAGTGAAATGAAAACTGTTACACCTAACACTATACGACAAAACCAGTTAGAACCAGTTTGCCTAAAAACAGTGTCAACTTGTTTGTCGAGTCGGGAACGGAAGTTTTTTAATCATCAAAAATCTGAGAAATTTAGTCTTCACAAGTGCAAGTAGTCATCAAATAGCACTGTTCTAACATACAAATGGATAATCTAACCAGTTTCGTTGTGTTGTCGATAGGTGTTCTATCGATTGCCTGCACTTGAACTCGATATGTTTGCCCTTCTTGGTAGTGTCGAACAGCCGTACGTACAACACCAGTATCGACGTCGACAGTGAACATTCCAGACGCTGAACAAGTAGTTCTAATGAGATAATGGAACTAAATGTCAACTATAAGCCCTGTGGTTCTTTTTAGATGGTATGTACCGTTGAATTTAAAAAAGCCACGAAAACGATTACTATGTACAAAAAATGAGGCGGAGCCTTGTTCAGGAAAGGAAAATACGTGTCGTGCCTAAGTCTGAGGTCGGCAATGCTTCTAAATCTAACTTTTAAGAACATTAATACTAAAATGCCACTTGACGGCAAATGCTTGATATCTATAAAATTATCTAAAAGAACACGTTCTCACGTTCGGTGTTGATCAGACGGTATTCGACATCAGTGTCACCATCTCCTCCTTCGTCTCGAGCGGCAAACTAGAGAAATTTCAAGCGTTATTATTTTATAGGGTGAATCAGAATGTTATGATGGATTTCTCATTATCATGTCTTTGCCGAAGAGCTCGAGACCACCCATTTTTACGCAATTTTATATTTGCCAAACAGTTAATTTTATTTGAAAGGTATACATTTAAAAGATTAAGGATGGAAATGATTTCTACGATCATGACGCCTTTCAAATAAAATTTCCTCAAAGCTTCTACTAATTCGTAATTACGGATGTTGTCCCTTTTTACAGCCTCAGCTTAACTGGGTTCATTGCTGATTTGGGAAACTCAGATCAATCCCGTTGACGGGAGATTGCTGATGGCATTGATCGATGATAGAACTAGCTCAGAGACAGGTGAAACGAAAGACTCACATGGTATGGTGGTAAACACGTTAGCTTCCGAAAAGGGTAATAGCGGGTTCGTTCCCCAAAGCAGATATTTTGCGGTCCGTCCGAAGTCTTACAACCACTTCAGCATCATTGTGGTTGTTCCTTTTTAACTATCCATTTGATTTTGTGCACTACGTAACTATGTAGAGGATTATGATAATTTAACAACTATTGGAAAGATGATCTGTCGTTGACCATCTTCCACGAACTCCTATTGGTTAACGAGCAGGAGCCAATCATAGAACGCTAGACGATCTAAGCGGAATTCTAAATCCATCGTCGCTTATAACATTAGCTGAAAGTTTTCTTGTCATCTTGTTTTATTTCCAATTCTAGAATTCACAATAGCTATCCACTCCTCGTATACGAAATAATAAATATATAAGTGAAAAGGAACCATAACCTTGTAAACATGGAATCCGACTGGAGTCTCTAATGGTACAACGGCTAAGAACGGCACTGGACCATTGACAAATGCCGGCGGTTCGTCAACGTCTTCCACTTGAATACGAAACGTTTGTATTCGTGCTGAAATTTGAGGAGAACATATATTTAATATCACATAGATTACAACAATAATAAAAGAAACATAAAGAAAAATGAATCGGTGGACATTTCAGAGCTTCGAAGCATCATTTGCACGAAAATTCGAGAAAATTTCCAACGACTAGTTTTTTGTTTAATGAGTTTTAACATTTTTTTAACGAAGCTGTTTTTCTACAACAAGTGAAAGTCTAACACATACCGTTCGATATGCATTTAACGTGAAAATAACGGTCGCTTTGGAGTTCAAACCATTGTATCCTGGCTCATAATGGACTTTATCAAGTGGAAAGAGAACGCAGAGAATATGCAGATCTTTGGCTTAAAGGTACGAGCTTTATAGTTCTATCATGATGAAAATCTGACTTTCCAGAATCTTTGAAATATATTTCTTCCACTTTTACTTCTTACTGAACTCATTTCAAAAACGAGGGTACGTGAACAAGCGAGATTTCTTTGGTACCATATGTTAGTAGAATAGTGGAGAAAAGGAAAATTTTAAAGACTTATGTAAGAGCCAAAGATTCAATGGGTAAGACCATCGTTTCCTGCTGAAAGAAACTCTGGTCATCCATTTACCGTCACCCTTTAAATGCGAGCCATTGAAGCAGAAAGTGAGCGAAATACCTTTCGTAGGCTCCAGGAAGGCAAAATTTCATCATGACAGAGCAAAAGAAGAAACCTGTAGGAAAATGTCTGTATGTTCTAGTGCTTTCTATTTCACATTAAAAAACCCATTCTAAGCTGAGATATGCTGCGTTTTAGTTGATCGCGTCCATCATTCGCATCGTACGCTTTGAAGGTAATGCGAATGGTTGTCCATGTGTTAACAAGAAAACCCGTACTGTCTCCTCTACTACGATGTCCATCAATGTTAGCGCAGTTGCCGTGGACACCGTCAATTACAGTACACATCAAGTGCCACCTTGACCATATAACAAAAGAAATCTGTGTCGGAACGAGTCATTCGGAGGCGAACAATTAAGCAATTATGGCTGTAACATCGAGAAAACACCTGCGACATAATTGGCTTATAAAAAATCATACCGAATCGAATTGTTCAGTGCGATGAGGTCAATTTGAATTCGGAATCTTTTCTAAAGATCGCAAAAATCAGCATTCAAATGAGAAAAAGCGTTCTTATTTGTGTATGGCTCTAGTGGCTTTCATTTCACTTAGTACAATCTAGTATTTTCCGAGTTAAAATTGAACGAAACCATTGTTTTCGGACCGTACGCATTGAAGTCAATGCACTTAGTACACGTTATTTTGATGGAACTCAGTTGGTGTATTGAAGCAAATTAGTATCAAAGCTCCTCTTTTAAAAAAATGCGACCGTGTCTTACCGATAGATTTAGAAGCTCTCCATGGTTACATTAAATAATTGTTAACGTCGACAATAAATCAGTAGAAGCAATCAAAACCTTATTCTTTAGAGATGATGTCTGAGGGTGTTTAGAGATGTCTAAGGGCATTCGTTTACACTCTCATAACTAAAACCTCGTCTATTACTGCAAAAATCCTATAAAAGTTGTTTATAAAAATTTTTTAAATGAAGTGAATAGCAAAAGGTAAAAGCAGCAATAGGGTAACAATAGGTGTAAAAGCAGCAATTAAAAACTCTAAAGGCAAAAGATATTCAGAAAAGTGGTAATCATTGTGAACAAGCGAAATGGGTTTACAAGTATTCTTTCTTCGATAAGGTTACGTGAGCTACAAACTCACAAGGAGAAGGACAAGGAGAACCTCACAAGGCACAAGGAAAGAATACATATTGACTAGTCATATCGAGTTTGAAAGAAAGTCGGTTTTGAGATATCGTTTTGGGTTTACAAGTGTTTACCAAGATTTAGTAAGAAATAATGAGAGATAAAAAAGATGTGCAAAAAGCAATGAAAAAATAGGTGAGTAGACGACAGGTTGTTACTGGTATTCCTTTTTCACAACATTAAATAATGTCTGGATATATTTAAAGCTGTACGACTGAAAATATCTAGAAAAAATAAAACAAGGAAAAGATGGAATTGTAAATAAATGAATATGAGCTGTATAAGAACAAATAAATATGGGATACTCTAATAAATAAGTAAGAAACAAGAGTTTCCTCCATTTTAGAGACCAATTGTTGTGTCCTCTTAAAGTAATCAATTCAAAACCAATCAGAACAACATTCTTCTCTCTTAGGTTATCAACGAAAGAATCGATTGATCAACCTGAGCATCATCGCCTACGAGGAAACAATAACTGGACAAAGACTGTAAATGATCAAGGCTATCTGCCGAGGGATGTCCCTCAAATATCTTTCTATTTGTTAGAACTCCACAATTTTTCCTAGATGGCTCGTATTTTTTCCCTTATTTCCATAATAGGGGCAAGATGGGACAGTGACAATGACATTCATTACGAGTACGGAGTCGGTTCGCCCCACGGCGGGCTCACCGAGACCCTCACCACTTCAGGATCCACAGGATTTTACGACCTATGCCTTGAGAAGTTAACCCTGCGCATTCCAAGTTAAAACACTCTAGCTCAGCTATCATAGGATTACAATGGGAGTCGACTGGATCATCATTTAACGACATTCAATGAAGACGACAGTCTTCGAGCCACAGCCGAATTCACACGCGGATGCTCGAAGACTTGGTGGACGCTGGATACGAAAACAATGAATCCAATTCATGAAGGGGTAAGATCTTCACAGAAGATGAGATGATGATCGTGTAAAAAAAATAATTTTCAGAATGCTTTAAGCCTGGTCGGCCATTACCAGTCTCGTCGCAGAACCAGAGAAAGGCATCCAAGAACAAACTTTTCCAAAATCACTATAATTAAATGCCTTCATATAAACACTATCAAGCTCTTTTTATCTCGGGTGTGCAAAAATGATAACTAAAGCCTTCAATGGTGCACGCATGAATTACCCAGTGGTGAAACGATGAAGAAAACGGCGAAAAAGTATAATGGGCAAGGGATCAGATGATTCGGCATGTACGAGCAAATCTGTACGGTGAGTTTAGAAAAGCTTCAAGCTGTTTAACTCATTGTTTTAGTGTTAGTCGGCAGACACAGACTCTTTCAAGCAATCGGATTGAAAAGGGATCGAATCACAAGCTGAGCTCACTAGATCGAAATATTGTTGTGTACCGCTATATTCTCTCACTTACTATTCTATCGATGACCCCTCCTTATCCAGTAGGCCATAGGTTGGTGTGGGAGGAACCTGACCGACTCGAGAGTGCCTAGATTGCGTAATATCGAATTGAGCTTGGGTTTTTGATTGATTCGTTGGCGAAAATCTCATAATGAGGGCTCCTCATTGAGAGCGGTATCGACTATCCATCCGCCAAGCACTCGAAGCAGTTAATTCAATGACCGACCGACTGGGTCGAGATTGAGTGGCTTAAGATTCTTCGTAGATTCTGAGTTCATCAAATCATAATGAACAGCGTTAATGTCGCTGATTGATTGATTGATTGGAAGGCTTGGTGACTTACTTCCGATTGCTCTATACCTGTGACTTAACACTACAACTTTTACTCTATCCATTCTACGATAAGTTGACGTCAGATGAGTGAAAATAGTGTATTGAAGTTCTCATGCGGAATTCTCCATCATTGCCACAAGTAGATAATCGCCAAAAACAGACCTCAGAGAGGATTTTTCTAAAGCGAGAATAGGAAGTACAGCAAGTTCTTCCTTGGTGGAGACTCTTTTTTAAAACAATTTGAAAAACACATGGCCACTTAACAAGTTTATTGGTCAAATTACTTATCACCCACTGCAAAAGCTATATAGACAAACACAATTTTCCGAATTTCCCACTGTTTCTTATCTTGGGATAATTTCCTTACCGTAACCCTAAGCTAAACTGTTACCGTTCTGTATATGAACAACCCTTGAAAAATAGTGGTCTCATCGATGACTAGAAAGCACCTAGAGCAAATAAAGTCTAACTATCCGATAAAACCTTATTTTCAAACACTATGAGCATTCCACACACCGCCGTTATGCTGTCTATGATCTCATCAAGTGAAATAAGGAGATTGAGTAGCAAATCATCTCCCATAACTTTATCTCTACATAATTCATTTATGTCTTAAATTTAGACTATAATTTTGTCCTCAACTTTAACTTAATATAAGGACTTTTGAAACGTTACGAACGAAATAAATTCGTTCAGAGGAGGTTCGCTGGCGAAAAAAATCGAAAATAAAGAAACCATGCCCTGACATTAAAAAGAGTAGACAGTAAATAAAAAGGTTAAGACTATGATTATAACTACAGCCTCAGCTTAACTGGCTTCATTACCGATTCGAGCACCCCAGATCGATTCCGCTGACGGGTGCTTGCTGATGGCAGTGATCGAATGAACTAGCCGAGAGCAAAGGACCCTCATGGTGTGGTGGTAAACGCGTTATCCCATGGAAAGGGTAATAGTGCGTTCGTTCCCCACCGCAGACACCTGCGATCCGGAGTTGTGTAAATACTTCAACAACATAGAAGTTATATTTGCAAAACTCTGGACCGCAGGTGTCTATGGCGGGGGACGAACGCGCTATTGTCCCTTCCGGGTAGTAACGCGTTCACCACCACACCATGCGGGTCCTTCGTTTCGCCTGTCTCTCAGTTATTTCTATCGATCTTTTTGCCACAGCAATCACCCGTCAGCGGGGTTGATCTGGGGAGCGCAAATCGGCATAGAACCCAGTTAAGCTATGGCTATAGTTGAAATCACAATGTTTAACGTTTTGTTTTCTGCCTTCTATAATTGGCGAAACGAAGGACTCGCATGGTGTGGTGGTGAACGCGTTACTCCCCGGAAAGAACAATAGCGCGTTCGTTCCCCACCATAGACACCTGCTGTCCAGAGTTTTGCAAATATATCAGCAACGTTGTGGTTGTATTTCGCTTAGTAACCTGCCATGAAAATTATAGAAGGCAGAAAACAAAACGTTAAACATAGAAGTTATATTTCGCATCATGCTCTGACATTAAAAAGTGTAGGTAGTAAATAAAAAAGTGAAGTTAAAGATACCAGTTATATTCACCTTTTCCTTCAGTAGAGTCCGTTCAAATTTGTTCAACAATAGTGATTATTCAAATTACTATAGTGCGCGAAATCTTATTGAAGTTTGACTTCTGGCCGGCTTTTTCTATAATTTCTGGACTTTTTCTTCTAAGCAGACATGAGTGATCGTCTAGAAGCTCACAACAAAGAGGGACCACCAAATTTGTGTTAAATACACAGTGATTAGCGGGAATATTGTGTGATTCGAGGCGTGGATAGAACAGACGGCGATGGTCTTCTCGTTGTAGGCCTATCCTACCTGCAGAATATGCCACTTGGTAGTCCCTCTTCTGTCCTGTTGTGCCTACATATGCATAACCAACACATCTGGTCGCTTTAACGCTATCCATATGCTCGATTAGACACACGAATACACACGTACACACACGTACACATACACAACATCCGATTCGCTTCAGTAATTGTACTCCTGTAATTACAGTATCCCGCTGATTTGACGATGAACTCCTTCATTGTCAAGACTATTAGCGTGCCGCGGTGACGCCGCAAAATATGACTTGGTTACGGTTCTCTGTAATCAAAGCCAGGACAAACGAGATGTTGGGAGGGTACCTGTTAGCCCCTGCACTGAGCCTACCCGGCTTTTTGATGGGTTACATTTCAGAAAAGGGTAGAGTTAAGTTTCGAAACGTTCTCCATCAGAGCATTACTATTTTGCCAGATAGAAATTTCTTTGTGATTTTATACTCAAAAAAATGCCACATAGAAAACCACACGACAATCGAAGTAATCTACTTGATCAATTGAGGTTTTGCAACATTAAAAATAAGTTATCTCATACGAAAAGTGTGACGCTCTTCATTTCCTTTGTAGAAGCTTCTAGAAGAATAGGAAGTTTGCTGGCACTGCTATGAATTACTGAGCATTCGTCCACTGATTAATGGCATTGCAGGTGAAACAGAGCTAAGGAACTTTTCCTAATGTTTGGAGTATCATGGGAAAAGAAGGGATAAAAGGGTTTTGAAACAATTTAGTTCAAATAACGTGACAAACACTAGAGTTCGATCGATTTTCTTTGAAGAAATAACTGTCTCGGTTTTATCGAAAGCGACGTGATTTTCAAAGAAATCCAGTTCCCCAGTCAATAAAAGTACCCGCCGAGTTACGAGAGCGCTGACGCATTCAGTTGGTCGTAAATTCAGCACTGACGACAAGAGGGTAATGGTCCCCAGAGACGTCGCTCGCATCCAGTCCGTTGACCCCCATTGGCATTCATTATGAGAGTCTGAGCGAGTTATCGTCATCTCGTCGTGTGCTCCCGAATGACCGGCTTACTAGTGCAGTGAGTTTCGGCGAAGACCATTACCCATAAACAAATGAGCTATGAGCAACGTCTATCCAGAGATGGGGAACGGATTAACAAATAAGAGGGATATTCATATTCTATGAGAAAATTAGACAGGATTATTTTGTTTCCTTTGAGGGACAAGGAAAATGCCCTCCCTCACTCTTTGGTTTGCTTGAACAACTAAAGAGTTTCCTAGCTTATTCTTAAAATGAATAGTTTTAATACTTATGAATGGACCAACTAAACAATTTCAGGTTGAGTTCGATGAATGCCGTACCAGAACAGTAATGGTAAGAAATAGACAAAAAAACGTCCGATACAAAACTATTACGCACACAGAGGAAATCCTCGATAAGCTTGATATTGATCGGTTTAAAAAATAAATGGCGCCTCTTTGTGCCCACAGAGAAACGATTTCGGATAAGTCATGTTTTTTCCAATACGACCAAAATCCTCTGACCCTGTAGATCCATTTGTTTACACAACGGACACATTCTTAATAGTCGTTGAAGTACCGATCTTCCCACTTTTTTCTCTGTTACATTACCACATCGTAAAAGTTTTTCGCAGTGATCTTCAACAAATTGCCTACATCCCACATAAACTCAACAGCACTTCGTTCTGTCATCACCTAGGCGACCAGATTAGTTTCCTAAGATTATCCAAACCGAGGCATCTCTTTCCTGGAATATCCCCAAGTTCGCCTGTGGAGTTCATTCAGTATGCTCGTCTCGTGCTCATTCGGTGTCCATGGCGACCTTTGTTGATTCAAGGTAATTCACTCGTATGCCATTGACATCGTCTGATATCCGGTGACATGCTGCAGCATATTGAACGATGACGAGCACCGCCTGTCTCCTGCGAGATCCAGAAGGAACGGAAGGAACGCTGCTTTTAAATGAAGCCGAGACAGAATTAAGATTGGCCAATATATGACGGTTACTGCAGTATCTAAGCCAAGAATATAGAGATGGAAAAGATGATGGAATCTGTATGAAAAGAAGAGATCAATCTGTTTCACATCATTTCTACAACCTTTGTCACCCAGTGATTATGACAGTTACAAAATCTGTTCTTGCTTTACTTCCTTCCCTAGGTAGTTAACTCCTAGCAATATTGATTTATGGCAAATATTGATCGATTGCATACGGATCGATACTAGATAAGATTCGGAAGGTGATGACAGACCGACAGACGATAAACGCCAGAGAACAGTTAATTTTTTATACCATTTTATCTTCCACTATTTTTTGTCTTCGCTTTTAGTTACCACAAACACTCCAAATCTACCACAAAAGGAATGGCCGCAAAAGGCTTTTTATATATATGTATATTTATATATACATGTATATGTATGCATAAAAGGATAAAGGATAAAGCTCTCGGCGTTGATCAATCCCTGAGGGATGCACCATGTATTCGCTTTGATTCAAGCATCGTTTGGAGGTGATTGGATGCATATCTGACCTTTACAATGACTCGCGGTGGTCTTCCGCTATATTGAGCCAGTGCTGCTATCCTCCCAGACAAGTCTGGTTCGCCAATCCCGTAAGGATGAATACTTGGCTTGCCATGGGCGCGGGGATCGATTCCACGGGTGTCTTGCAAGGCGCCTCCGACCACTGCTCCACACGAGCCCCTATATATTTATATATAATATATATGTATGTATATATATATACTTAATGGGGCAGACTTTGGCTAGGCTGATCTCGGGATTCCAGAGAACCACAATGGCTTAACCAGCAAATCTCCGAAAAATGGCGATTATGCTGGGGTCCGCACAACTAGTGAGGACGGGCCGTTCAAGTATCAAGTATCAAGTATATACTGTACTGTATATGTGAACCAGAGGGAGATTTACCACCATGCGACTTTGATACCAAGACGGTGGTGTATCCCAGTATTGGTTTACTCTTAGCTAGGCTTTCTGATTCCTGATGAAATATATATATATATATGTAATTAAATGCTATTTTTAAGTATTGTATTAAAATGTTTCATACGCGTTTACTAAAAACGAAACCTTCTGACATCAAATAGGGCAACACCTAAAAACTTTGTAAGCACTACAAGTTTCCAATATGCAAATATAACAAGAAGAAAAACGCGATGAAGAAAGAAAATCAAACGAGAAAGGGAGTTCATACTCCGTCCCGTCAAACCCTTTATTATCTGTTGTAGTTCATTGCCGAGGATGTTTGAGTGCATGATTATTATCGAGTATTGTTGAGTAAGTCTAAGTCTAGCAGGAGGCGATAATCCGTCAACCGAACCAGGTCAAGTGTATCACATCCGGAAGCGAAGCGAGCTGCCATCCACAACACTACGCAAACAAACAAAGCAGGAGCACCCATTAGTAAAAGTGAATCAGATTCATTCCAAATAGGATATGTTCCCAATGAATTCTACCAACCAACTGATGACATGTCAATAATTCCCACACGGGAAAAAGATATCGCGAACCTCAACTTTAGAAGAGCACCATGAGTTCCCAATAAAGTGAAAATCCAGCGATGGTGTTCCATTGTCGGAAGAAAAGTCTGTCATTTTTAGCCTAATGTTAGAAAAGCTCGATAAGTCCTCAACAAACTCTAGATCTCGGTGATGATCCTCCCATGGGAATATCGAGTTTCAACACCCACATGCACTCGTTGTTAGAATCATTCTTTAATACTATGCATCAATACTACTCTTCAATAATAACATTGATATTACGCTGGCGCTACAAAAGCTGTAAATATTCCTATGAATTGAAATAGATGAGCCGTTATATACTGATGGAACTAGATGGTGTTTAAGAAGTAATCTTTTCTATGGGTTTAAGATTAAAAGTAAACTTGCATCTTGGTGCATTACTAAAGTACTTGATGATCAGTTAAAGAGTTTAGACAGATTGATAGGTGATTGGACTGATTTGAGGAGTTAAATGATTCTAAAAAGTCTCATTCATGTAGGAAGTCCAAAACCTGTGGTCAGTAATCAGTAGAAAAGGAAAGAAGGTTTAAGATAAAAGAAACAGAAATAAAAATGAAATAGAAAAAACAGAGGTGAAAACAAACTCGGAAGAATCATAAGAAATTTTGGTTCGATTCTATTTGACTTCATTTTCGAAATTGCTGGTGAACCAAATTGGAATTTCTTTATTAAGAGCTTCGCATTTTTCTACAAGCAATATTACCAAGTTTTTTTTCACGAAGCTAAGAAGTACAATTTTCTCCTGGATTCCATGTTTGGTAGTTGATATCGCGACCTACTCATATAACACTCTTAGTATATTTATGATTAAGGATAGCCCATGAAATGTAGAAAACCGCATGTAACGCACTGATAAATAGTGTTCCACTATGCACATCTGGCCCTTAGTTCAATCCGGCTCCCTGGACAAACTAATTTCTTCATCACCTCGGTTTTGGAAAATTGGTGCCACAGTTGTTTTGATGAAATGAAACACTGGCCAGATACATTTGAAGGTCCTCGCATTTCATCATTTTGCCAAAATCGCATTGATTCATTTATAAGACGCTCGACAGAATAAAATACATGGATCATTGCTTAAGGGAAGATTGATGAACGCTGGGCGCTCCAACCTTTTCTATCCTTTAATATCTAGAGATTGCGCATACAAATTGTTCGATTTCTTACTCACGTTTACGTCCCATATAGTTCATGTGGGAATGAGTTATCCAACTTCAGCCAATCGAGCTTTGAGCGTGATATCACACAACCATGATTATCCTCTCTTCCGTGCCGCCAAACTGTCACCGCTTGCCGCTAATGAAACTCGACAGGGGTTGCGGTTAGGATTGTGCCACTACCGATTTTTGATCGTTTTCATTCTGGGATGAAAGTCAAGAGCTGGCACGGGGAAATGGGAATAAAAAACCTGATGTTCTCACGGAACGTAGAATCACCATAAATCGCCGCCGAAAAAAAAAAGATCCGACGAAATGAGCTTGACCTTATGCTGATTGAGAACAAAATGAGAAAAAAAAAAACTCAAACAGAGAATAGCCTATCGCCGTTGTTCGCCACAGTAACATCCGAAACAGAAAACTTCATTACCGTATCCCAGTAGGTTTTTTGAAGGATAACGAAGTTATCTCCACTTGACCGGGCTCATTTTTCCTAAGAATTCTGACATTCCATGTTTGGTTTTTTCGTTTTTTGAGAACTGCGTTCTGGAATAACCATATTTTACTCTATTTCTGAGAATATTGCCTAAATTTCATGGTCTTAACCACAGTTCACCAATTCCGCAGTTATTTCCTCTTCATAAACTAGAGGTATCTTGTTTTAACGCTTGTGGTTCAGAAACATGAAATTTTGAAAAAGATTGGTTAGCGATTTTACTAGAATAAGCTAAGTTATCCAGAAATGTAAAAGAGCAGCAATTCAAGGCATCTTGTGTCCGGAATCTGAAACAGTTTCGGGGTTTTGACATTCTTGAAGACTCAGGACTCATGAAATCCCTCCCTTCCCCTTTAGACCTTCCATATATGATTACTGGGTAAGATTTTCTAGATTGCTATCCATGGATATATTCACCCAGAGCGGCTGGCGCAAATTAAATTTTCCTTCGTATCATAGCCGCTTGCAATAAAATGAAATCTTAACGTAAATATTCTATCATAATTGACTGAACCAGATCTAAACACTACAATACCAGTTGTTTGTTCCATCGCCGTTCGTACGAGTACGTTTTTGGACAGCTGCCCGCTTTTTCTTTTGCGGCTATCAGTGGAGCATCTAATCCCATTATACATACGACATCGGCTTTGTTGATCTCTGCGCGTACGAGTTATCCGCGCTCTCTCGCCGCTGCTCGTACCAGTTGTGCTTCTCAGTTTTAGGGCTATTTCGAGGCCATCCAACTCAGCTCCATATGGTGCGTAATGTCTCACCACGTGCGGTTGTACTCAAATAAAGATGATCCTATACTATGAACTTCGTATTGTAAATCCGTACCCACGAAAAGAAAGCTTGTGGAGAATATTTCGCTTCTTTTTTAGCAATGAACTTCCCAAATTAGGCATTGGTACCAATTCCATGCGTAGTGTAGATAGATCGGCGTCCGATAACGAAGCGTCCATTCATTCCGAAGAAAAAGTTAAGCCGAATAGGAACAGTGATGGATTCTTGGCTGTTACACGGAACCAAATGAGATGAAGTAACTGATTCCGTGGTGGTCAGTGAAGCGTAAGCAAGTTGGAAGCAGGATTTCTAAAGAAGTCATAATGAAAAATAAGAAACTGAGAACTGTGCAGAATAGATTTCAGATAGGTTCAGCAAGATTAAAAGTTTTCCTACTCGCTAACACCAAGTAGCCGGCATTAAAGGATTCTAAGCTAAGGAAAGCTTTTAGGTGAAAACAAGAAAGTGCTGAAATACTGTGATAGAAACTTTGTATTCTTAGATGAATTCCTTGTAATAAAACTTGTCAAATATCAGGAAGAAACTTTCCTATAACAAATCCATTCCATTTAAGAAGACCCTAAGGTTGAGTAATGGAAAATTTATCACGTATGCCAGATTGTTGTGCTTACTGTTTGGTATTGAAAATGTGAGCGAGATCTAACGGATTGCACTTTCTTTTCACTGGCCGTCCGGCCAGACAACGACCGATGTTTAGCCGTTCGCATCGCTTCAGATTAGCATACGCTCCTTCTATTCATGTCCACTCATACATCATCAATTATTGAGCGGCACATAATGATTGTCGTAGCGATTGCATATGCTGGAAAATATACCGACCACACTGGTTTGGATTCTTACGGTATATTCTTAATTATAAAGGATAAAAGGAAAATGATAAGGCGTTCTGACATAACGAACAGGGATCTGCGATGACGCATATTTGGACTATACCATAGTTTGTAGAAGCTTTCCAAAGTATAAAGTCATTGTATTTGTCTTCCCATATGAGTCCGGTACCAATTTACCGACATAGGAAGAACATTTGTTTATTCGAAGCGTGGGATCGAACCAACGGCAAAATATGTATTGCAGGGAACCTCGAACCACTATGCTACACATGCCCTGAGTTCATGATAAATAAATAAATAAATAAATAAGCAAATAAGTAAGTGGACAAATAAGTAAATATTCAACGTATATTTGACACTGTATTTTTGCAAGTGCAATATTGAAGAGTGCGCAATCTAAAGTTGTAAACACAACATTTGCACTTCAGTGGCAAGTTATAACACTTACCACCTATCGAACTGTAGAAATTCCTTACAGAACTTATGATTGTTTCAAAATTAGGCACAAAACTTTTGCTAAATTTAAAAAAAGGAAGGAAAAGAAAAATGGGGTTTAAAAAGTACCTGAGGGAAAAGTAAAACAAAGGCCTCAGTGGTGCAAAGGATAACACTCCCGGCGAGCTCCCGGAAAGCGACCGGTGGCCGCGGATACGAAGATGTCTTGCGGTCCGAGTTTTGCAAATATCTCAGCATCGTTACCGTTGCATTTCACAAAATATCTTGCCACGAAAGAATAATAGTTAGTAAAAAAATTTATACACTTGGTTGGGTCAGGACCACCACTGGTTGCAAGGTCTTTTTTTGCCTTAATGAAAGGAGTGGCAATCGGTGAAATTAATGTCTTTAACAGTGAAAACCGATTCTTCGGGCGTAATTCCGTGTCGACAAGGTATGACATGGAGGCTTATCTTAATTGAATCTTGGGTACGCACGTTGCCCAATACATGCGCTCTCTTTAGGAAGAGAACAGGACAGCCTACAAGAAGCAATTCTCAAAGTTCATTGAGCGTTGTATCACTGCTGACAATCTTGAGGAGATGTATGCCATTCGTCATGCTGCCATTCGTGCAAACCCAGTACATCAACCTAAGCAGGCCAAAAATTATGGAGAGCAAAAGATATTCACGGCTAAGTAGATCACACTGGAAAGGAGAAAGGGACATGTTCAAGAGAAAAGAGTCCTTCTTTTGCAACTGAAGGCATAGCAAGAAGCGATGTGAACAGTTTTAAATGTTGTATAGCGATAAAATCATCGTGGTCAAAAAAAAGTTATGCATTGTTTAGAAAAGTTTGTTGGACAAAACTCCGAGTTACTTTGTTCTGATTTATTGACAATCCCCTACAACAACACCCGCCAGTTCGCTTATTCTCACCTTTACTCGACACGCCTGACGCAACGTATGCGCGCACGTCTGCGCTATGTCACGACGGCTAAGCGCTAGCATACTGACAGCTGTTATCACTCATAATGTAATATATAATCTAATAAATAAAATAGGTAATGTTATGACAGTAATATATGTCATGTACACAAGCGTGATATCCTCGAAACGAACTAATTAGTCAAGAGATGACTCAAAAATCGATAAATATGGTCAGTTGAAACCTCAGACATAGTGGTAATCGAAGACTGGATTTTTTTCGGAAACTTTTTAAAGATCATTTTTTACTATGAACAAGCTTAATAAACGAAGAGTAAGACCGAAAGCCGTCATGAGAATAAAAAGGGATAAGTGATGAGTAAGGATGAGTATCAGAAGACGAAATATTTAACTTATGAATACGAGAAAAAAACGAACACTTCCGTTTTCCTTCCACATGCAGCACCTCGATGAGTTCCGGTGTTCTTTCGAAATTTAGCGCTTTTGTCACCATAACGCTGCCATCGCGAAGAATCGTAAAGTGTTCCCTGACGACAGGCGCCCCAACGATCTTCTCACCGGTATAGAGTGGAATTAACTGAAATGAGAAAAATAAGATAGATAAAACCGAGTTCACATATTGGCCGTGACCTTCGATCAATAACGATCAATATACCCTTTTGTATTGTCCGACTGTGTTCTCTTTTAGTCTAATTACAACAGGATCTGATAGTTCTCTTCGATGACGTCGATTAGAATTCGTCGTTCTTGATTTTTCTTCTTCGACTACCACAGTCACTGTTGTTGTGGACTCCTAAACGATGATTTCAGATGTCCTATGTAAGAAAAAAGCTGGAAGCTTAGACAGAAGTGATGAACAATGAAGCTACGATAAAAATTCCATGTATCACACTAATTTAGCGGTCAAAACAATCATTGTTAAGGGAAAAATTTGAACGGGTTCAGTGTTAATGAATACAAATCTAATAGAAAGCATAAATAGTAAAATAGAAAAGATAATCGCCCTCAGCTGTTCAGACTAGCCCATAATCAAAATAGTTGGGCTTGTGAAACAAATTTTGTGAACTATAAATCCCCAGTTAGTAATAGTAGAATAATTTTAGTCAATCGATGAATCTAAGAATTTTTTTAGAAGGTGATTAAAGACAACAAAAGTCCCAAGGTGTCTTCGACACATGCAGTTTTCAATTCTTGTGCCACTAACCTGCCCGACTGAATTTTCAGCCACCACTTCAAACGAGTACTTTCCGGGCGGGACCGCCGATGTTGTGTAGATTTCTCCAGAAAACGGTGCCACATTAAAGGACGAGTTGTCGTGTTTCAGATGGTAGGTTACGAACGATTTTTTATCACTAAAATGTAACAGATATCGTTTGAGAAATAGATAAAGTCATTAGAAATAAGTCGGGTAGAGTTTTCAAGAGCATTGGAAAATGTACGAGAAAACTACAAAAAATTAAACCAGCAGCCTCGAAATCTTTGCAGTTTTGCACTTATGTCCCCAAAAAGTAATAAATAATTCTGCTATCTCTAATGGAAAACTAGAGAGTGATAATCACAAAAATAACCCATATCCTTAGTTAAAATTCTCCAGTCAGTCCTAGTATTTTTGCCTTTTGTAATCAAATAAGACGCTCTTAGCGTCATTTAATTGTTCTCAATTTTAGCACAAAATCGGGCTATTGTCAATCCCCAATGCACGCGATTCTTCACGACCTTAAAAGAAGCTCGTTTTTTTCCATGACATACGAGTCTGGTTAATAACCTTTTCTCCTACTCCTTATATTTCTTATGGTTTCGATAAAATAATGAACCCCATTGACCATTTGATGTGGAACGGCGATGACTACGACTAATAGCTCTCGAATTTAATTGACCAGGTTCCAATCTTAACATGGACTCTCCGCTTCACCATCCATCATTGTCACCATACAGTAGCACCTATCAGTGAGTCCTCTGGAGAAATACGTACAGTGATCAACCGTAGAGGGACGATTTGCTGAAGAGTAAATTGTCTTTCCGTGTCTACTGATGAAGTGCTTGGAAATTAGCTGCTGTTACTGCATATCGGCCTGGCCTTAATCACATTAAGTATCGAACACACGAAAACAACAACGCCAAGGACTGCTCATTACAGCCGAAGGAACATCCACGTCCATTCTCATAAATCAAGATGATGACGACGACGAAAACTACCTTAACGGCTACATCGCTCCCCTTAGCGGTAACATATGATTCATTTCTTGGGAACTGGAAATATTCACATACCCTCTGGGTTAAGCCAGAAGGTGTGATTTCTGGCTTCTGAGATCATTTAATTCATAATTTCAGCTTCTGTAGCTTCTGTAGTTTCAGATGACATGATGTATATGAAATGGAACCAGTAATAGTGGAATATTTGACTTCTTCCTCCTACATTCCCGCTCTTCATCGAGTAATTCCAGCACACACCAACTGAGTCTCTATTTGCCACTGTCACGCGATATGCTAAAGCCTCTATGCGAGTTCAGCTTACTTAAAGTACACGAACAACAATTACGCTTTTCGTATAAGGCTATCTATTTTTAGCTTTCTTGGTTAAAAATTATCTAAACAACTTGCCGAACTTCTTTGAAAGACGGCTTAAAATCGATGGTTCTATGAGAAGACGTAGGATTTAGCTACTTGACGAGACACGGAACCGTGTCTCCTATAAGATCAATTGGCTCGAGATTTCGTGGAAAAGATCCTTGTCTTCATAGTCCGTAATTACGGCCGTTCGTACAAAATTTCATGACGAAGTCTATTACCTTTCTATGTCTATGCATCCCCAAGAACCGAATCAATTTCTCATTAAAAGGCTCTGATTTATGTTAGTGGATTTAAAAGCTGAGCTTTAGTGTTGGCTATCAGCAACTAGCTGCATATTTGAGGTGACTTGTATTCTCATTTTCTAAAAATTAAGTACGTAAATCATAAAGATTTACTACAGACAGTTCTCTAAACGCCGTGTTTCATTAATTCGAAGGTGGTAGGTAGGTCGTAAAGAAACATCCACAGATATCACTAGATACGATAAGGACGATGTCATATTTGTAAGTGTGGTAGAGCGCTGTATTCTGATATTTAGATAACTTTGCTCGGAAAAGAATGTGCTAGACGATCTTCAACGCTTTTTTCATGAAATTCAAGTGAATGTTGACAGTGATGTGTCAACGCCAAGCCGACGGTCACAGTAGAATCACGTCGACCTGGACCACGATTCACAAAAGCGTTAGCGCTGATTGACATTTAGAAATAAAATGTTAGCTATAGAGCCGAAAAAAGGCAGTAAGGATTTAAATTGGTCAAAGGACAACAGAACAAGCAGCTGTTTTTGAAAGGTCAACTGCAATTACAGTACATCTGAGAACTCTAACGAAACAAAATGGACAGCAGTTGGCTGCTTTCCTCGAGAGTAGACACACTGTTTCTATACTTCCTATTTATGTATATGTTTACTATTTATATTACAACAATAGCGTGGCGTCTATTCATAAAGAGAACGGTATCTTACTGATCATTGCCTAGGTTAATAGAAAGTCGGTTCTGCAAATTACAATACAGATACCTTTCTATTTCTACCCCATTCCGTTATACTCCTTTCTTTAAAATTCTATTCTCCCAAGTCTAATCCGAATAAATATTGCAAAGAAGGTGAAGTAGTATCGAAAAGTTGATGACTCAAAAGACAATGACGATGGTGATAGGATGAATGAGGTAGATCAGATGATTTGTGAGAAAAAAAAGACAGGTTAGAGATTCAGCGTTCTTTACTTCTTCAAGACCTGAGAGTAATCATATATAAAAACATAAGAAAAACTAAAAAACCAAATAGTAGGAAAAAATGAAAAGCAACTAGTACCGTGCATGAACTGTCATCACAACGAAAGCAGCGGGAAGTTCTGGTGATGTGGTGAAGTAATGGGAAGCATCAAATCGTGGTGGTTCTCGAGCAGCTTCTTTCACCAGAATTGTAACCTTGCAGTTAGCCTGTTCTCTACCCGAATCGTCAAACGCACCCAGATAGAATTCCATCGTATCGTCTTCGTAGGCACTCAGACGACGCGACAGTTGGATCTAAAATCTTCTCAGTGTCGTCTCAGTGCATTAAAGTTACTAATTTTATCCCAGCACAATTTCACAGTATTCTGGTGGTTTGGATGAGTTAGTTACTAATCCGACAAAAACATTGATAGAATTTTTTATAGATCAAATAAAGGAAATTTCTTATTACAGTAAGAACCTATGAACCAATAAAAGACCTTAGGGTAAGCGAATTATACTATGCTTCTGAGGACAGAAAAAAGAAATCGCCGTGAAATGACAAAATTTATGAGCAACTAGTCATAACCACAATAATGTCAATAAATTCTGACTACCGACAAAGAAAATTATAGCGATCGATGAACAACGGAGACCACAGTATGGAGCCACTTTCTTCATAAGAAGTCTATGCAGGGTGAAGCGGATGTAAGAGAAGAAAATAGTCTTAATTAGTAAGTAGTGAGTAAACCTGCGCGAAGCCTCGTCCTTTCGCATCTTCTCTGCTGATGATCGTGATTGGATAGCCAGTAACTGATGATAGAGGAGCAAATCGAACACGTTGCTCATGGGGAGATGGTCCTTTGATGGCGATTGGCGTTGAAAACAGTAACACTGAGCCATTTTTGGTTTTCTCAGACACCGTTGTTTGATAGTGGTTCTGGTAGAATCTGCAGAGCCTATAATACTCA